TGAGGAGATCTGAGTGTTTCTTGGGAAAAATTCCTTAAGTTTGTTCATTATTTGTGTTATTTTTTTTAATTTGGGACCATTCAATGCCAATTTTTACCCTTAAAACCCATTTTGAGGCGTTTTAGTGAAATTTTGGGATCTTTTAGTGCCATTTGGGGACCATAGTTCTCATTTTGCGCCTTTTATTCCTATTTTTATCCTTTGGGGACCTTTTAAACCTCGACTTGGGACGATTTTATCAATTTTGGGAGAAATTTCATCGTTTTGTGCCCATTTTCATCCATTTCATCAATTGCTATGCTATTCTATTCATTCTTATTTCTATTTTATCCATTTTTCTACTATTTAATCTGTTTTTGTCTCATTATAATCCATTTTTGTACCCTTCAGCCCCTTTTTTTGCCGATTTTACCCATTTTGTGCCCTTTATTTCCATTTTTTTCCCCTTTTGAGGTCTCATTCCCCCCAGATCCCTCAGGGCCTTTTGTGGCCATTTTTTGCAATTTTGGGACATTTTCATCTCAATTTCGCTTCTTTTGTCCCCAGACCGGGATTTCCGAGGGCTTTTCCCCCCTATTTTCCCGTTTTTTCCTCATTTTCCCATTTTTTGCCCGTTTTTCCCAATTTTTTTTCCCCTGATATTTCCCCAATCCCGGGCCTGGCCCCAAACCCTGCCTCGATTTTGGCGCCGCCGCCGCCGCCTCTCGGGGCGATGCGGCTCAAGCGCGGCCAATCCATTCCATTGCCGCCGCTCCCGACGCTTTTTTGGGCTGAAATCCGTCAGATTTGGGTTTATTTTTAAATTTTTTAATTTCTGATTTTATTTCCTCCCTCTGAGGGCGAAGGACCCCGCGTCCCCCTCAGCGCCACAAGATGGCGGCTCGCGGCTGCCCGCGCTCCCGCCTGCCCCGCGCGCTCCGGCAGCGCCGCGGCCACCCCTGAACCGAGGGCCCCCCCCCTCATCTCCGCGAGGGGGAGCGCTTCCGGGTGGGCGTGCGCAACGCACCCGGCTGGCGGCCGCTTCGGCCAATGAGCGCGCGGCGCCGGCACGGCTCAGCCAATCGGGAGCGAGGCGGAGGGGCGTGGCCGGCCGGGAAGGGGGCGTGGCCGCGCGCGCGCTGCGTTGCGCCGCGAGCCGCTCCGTGAGGGCGCCCCCGGCTCGGCGCGCGCGCGCGGGGGGGGCACGAGCGGCGCCCCCCCCCCCCCCACACCCCCCTTTACTCCTCCCCCTTTCCCATTTAAAAAATTATTTAAATATTATTTTAAAAAACAAAAATCGTTTCTGCGGGGAAACCCCCCCGAATATCGGCCCGGAGCCGGGGGGTGGCGGATTTCCCTTCCCTTCCCCCCCTTCTCCCTCAGGCGCTCGGCGGGACAGGTAAGGCGGGAATGGGGGAGGGGGGGGGAGGGGGGATCGGCCCTCACGGGGGTCGTGAGGGGAGGGGGGAGGGGAGCGGCCCTCGTGGGGGGCTCCGGTGGGGTCCGGGTGGGCCGGGCTGGGTCCCAGTTTGGGCCAGTTTTGGGGTCCCAGTTTGGGCCACACTGGGGTCCCAGTTACCCCAGATTGGGGTCCCAGTTCGGGCCAGTTTGGGGTCCCAGTTTGGGCCACACTGGGGTCCCAGTTATGGCCACATTGGGGTCCCAGTTACCCCAGATTGGGGTCCCAGTTATGGCCACATTGGGGTCCCAGTTACCCCAGATTGGGGTCCCAGTTTGGGCCACACTGGGGTCCCAGTTATGGCCACATTGGGGTCCCAGTTACCCCAGATTAGGGTCCCAGTTTGGGCCACATTGGGGTCCCAGTTACCCCAGATTGGGGTCCCAGTTATGGCCACATTGGGGTCCCAGTTACCCCAGATTGGGGTCCCAGTTTGGGCCACATTGGGGTCCCAGTTTAGGCCAGACTGGGGTCCCAGTAACCCCAAATTGGGGGTCCCAGTTCGGGCCAGTTTGGGGTCCCAGTTTGGGCCAGACTGGGGTCCCAGTTTGGGCCAGACTGGGGTCCCAGTTACCCCAGATTGGGGTCCCAGTTTGGGCCAGTTTGGGGTCCCAGTTTGGGCCAGACTGGGGTCCCAGTTTGGGCCAGACTGGGGTCCCAGTTACCCCAGATTGGGGTCCCAGTTTGGGCCCAGTTTGGGCTCCCAGTTTGGGCCAAATTGGGGTCCCAGTTTGGGCCAGTTTGGGGTCCCAGTTACCCTAAAATGGGGGTCCCAGTTTGGGGTCAGTTTGGGGTCCCAGTTTGGGCCAGTTTGGGGTCCCAGTTAGTTTGAACTCCCCATTTGGCGTCCAGTTACCCCAAATTGGGGGTCCCAGTTTGGGGTCCCAGTTTGGGCCAGACTGGGGTCCCAGTAACCCCAGTTTGGGGTCCCAGTTTAGGTCAGTTTGGGGTCCCAGTTACCTTGAATTTAGATCCCAGTTTGGGTCCCAGTTTGGGTCCCAGTTTGGGCCAGTTTGGGGTCCCAGTTAGTTTGAAGTCCCCATTTGGCGTCCCAGTTACCCCAAACTGGGGTCCCAGTTTGGGTCAGACTGGGGGTCCCAGTAACCCCCAGTTTGGGGGTCCCAGTTTAGGTCAGTTTGGGGTCCCAGTTACCTTGAATTTAGATCCCAGTTACCCCAGTTTGGGGCCCCAGTTTGGGCCAGTTTGGGGTCCCAGTTACCCTAAATTGGGGTCCCAGTTTGTTCCATATTGGGGTCCCAGTTTGGGCTCCCAGTTACCCTAAATCGGGGTCCCAGTTTGTTCTAAATGGGGGTCCAGTTACCCCCAGTTTGGAATCCAGTCACCCCAAATCAGGCCCCCCAGTTACCCTAAATTAGCCCCACATTGGAGTCCCAGTTTGGGCCACATTGGGGTCCCAGTTACCCCCAAAATGGGGGTCCCAGTTTGGGCCAGTTTGGGGTCCCAGTAACCCCAGATTGGGGTCCCAGTTTCCCCAGTTTGGGGTTCCATTTCCCCCCATTTTGGGGTCCCAGTTTGGGCCAGTTTGGGGTCCCAGTTACCCCAAATTTGGGGTCCCAGTTACCCCAAATTGGAGTCCCAGTTGCCCCCATTTTGGGGTTCCATTTCTCCCCATTTTGGGGTCCCAGTTGCCCCAAATGGGGGTCCCAGTTACCCCAAATTGGAGTCCCAGTTGCCCCCATTTTGGGGTTCCATTTCTCCCCATTTTGGGGTCCCAGTTTCCCCAGTTTGGGGTCCCAGTAACCCCAAATTGGGATCCCCGTTCCCCCAAATTGAGGTCCTAATTTGTCCTAAATTGGGGGTCCCACTTTGGGGTCCCAGTTAAACCAAATTGGGGTCCCAGTTTGGGCCATTTTGGGGTCCCATTTACCCCAAATTTGGCTCCCAGTTCCCCCCAGTTTGGGCTCCCCCATTTCCCCCGGTTCCTTCCCCTCTCATTTTGGGTTCAAACCCCCAATTTTGGGCTCTGGGGTCACTTTGGGGTCCCCCTGATCCCCCCCCCCCCCTTTTTTTTGTCTCTTTACAGCCTGGAGCTCCGGAGCCCCCCCAGCCTGAGGAGAGCCCCCCAAAACCCCCCAAATTCACCCCAAAACCCCCAAATTCACCCCAAAACCCCCCAAATTCACCCCAGAATCCCTCAGGACCCCCAAAACCTCCAAAATCCCTCAAATTCACCCCAAAATCCCCCCCCCCAAAAAACCCCAAATTATCCCCAAATCACCCCAAAATCCCCCTGGGACTCCCCAACCCCCCCAAATTGGGGTTGGGGACCCCCCAAATTCCCATCCAGGACCCCCCAAATCCTCCCCAAATTTCCGTTTTTGGGGTTTGGGGACCCCCAAATTCCTCAAGTTTCCATTTTTTGGGGTCAAGACCCCCCAAAATTTCCATTTTTAGGGGTCTGGACCCTTGAAGTCCCCCCAAATTTGGATTTTTAGGGGTTGGGACCCCCCAGATCTCCCCCAAACCTCCCCAAATTTTGGGTTCTCAAGGTCAGGACCCCCAAATTCCCCAAATTTTGGATTTTTGGGGGTCGGGACCCCCCAAATCTGCCTTGAAATTTGGATTTTTGGGGCTCTGGTCCCCAAATCCTGCTCAAATTTCAGATTTTTGAGGTCAGGACCCAAAGTTTTTGATTTTTGGGTTAGGTTCCCTGGAAATTCCCATTTTCTGGGGTCAGGATCCCCAAAGTCTCCTTAAATTTCAGATTTTTGGGGTCAGGATCCCCAAATCCCCCCCAAAATTTCAGATTTTTGGGGTCAGGACCCCCAAATCCTCCTCAAATTCCCATTTTTTTGGTAAGGATCCCCCAAATTCCCATTTTTTGGGCTCAGAACCCCCCAAATTCCCCATTTTTTGGGGTCAGAACCCCCTCAAATTTCCAATTTTTGGGTCAGAACCCCCCAAATTTCCGAATTTTGGGCTCAGAACCCCCCAAATTCCCATTTTTTGGGGTCAGAACCCCCTCAAATTTCCAATTTTTGGGTCAGAACCCCCCCAAATTTCCGATTTTTGGGTCAGAACCCCCCAAATTTCAGATTTTCCCCCTCAAACCCCCCACATTTCAGATTTTTGGGTCAGAACCCCCAAATTTCAGATTTTTTGGGCTCAGAACCCCCAAATTCCCATTTTTTTGGGCTCAACCCCCCCCCCAAATTTCAGCTTTTTGCCCCCAAATTCCCATTTTCGGGCTCAGACCCCCAAATTTCAGCTTTTTACCCCCAAATCTCCCGCCCCCGGAGTCCCCGCCCCCCTCCCCGATTTGCATCCCGGCGGGCCCCGCCCCCCAAGATGGCCGACCCCATCATGGACCTCTTTGACGACCCCAACCTGTTCGGCCTCGGCCCCCTCCCCCCCCGAGGAGCTGGTGGCCCCGCCCCCTGCCCCGCCCCCTCCCTCCGCGGAGGCCCCGCCCCCTCCCGACCCATTGGCCGAGGCCCTGGGGCTCTCGGGGGCGCTGGACCCGCCCCCAAACCTGCCCGAAAATCTGCCCCAAAATCTGCCCCAGAACCCCCAAAATCTGCCCCAGAACCTGCCCCAGAATCTGCCCCAGAATCTGCCCCAAAACCCCCAGAATCTGCCCCAGAATCTGCCCCCGAGCCCCGCCCAGCCCGAGCCGGAAGTGCTGAGCCAGGGCAATCCCTTCATGGGCGTGTCCGCCCCGCCCCCACAGGCCCCGCCCAAAATCGTCATCCTCAAAGCCCCGCCCCCCGCCGGGGGAGGCCCCGCCCCCGCGGCCACGCCCAACGGCGGCAAAGTCACCTTGGCCAAGGTGTTGGCCCCGCCCACCGTGCGGGCGGGGGGCGTGGCTGCGGCGGGAGGGGGCGTGGCCTCGGCAGCGGCAGCAGGGGGCGTGGCCTCAGCGGCAGGGGGCGGGGCCAGGCAGGTGAAGCAGCTGCTGCTGCAGCCCCTGAAGGCGGCGACGTCAGCGGGGGGCGGAGTCACGGCCGGGGCCACGCCCCTGAAACACCTGGGGAGCCTGGGGCCTGCACAGGTGAGGGGGGGCGGGGCCTGGGGGGCGGGGCATAGCTGGGGCCACGCCCCTGAAACACCTGGGGAGCCTGGGGCCCGCACAGGTGAGGGGGCGGGGCCTGGGGGGGTCTGGGTGTTGCCAGGTGGGGGTTGGGCGTGGCCAGGTGAGTCTGGGCGTGGCCAGGTGAGTCTGGGCGTGGCCAGGTGTGGTTTAATGATGTCCGGTTGTGCTGGGAAGCTCCACCCCAATTTCCATCCTCACTGACCACTGACCCCTGAGTGACCACTGACACTGACCAGTGACCACTGAGTGACCACTCATAGTGACCATCCTCACTGACCCCTGAGTGACCACTGACACTGACCAGTGACCACTGAGTGACCACTCATAGTGACCATCCTCACTGACCCCTGAGTGACCACTGACACTGACCAGTGACCCCTGAGTGACCACTGACATTGACCAGTGACCGCTCATAGTGACCACTCATAGTGACCATCCTCACTGACCACTGACCACTGAGTGACCACTGACACTGACCACTGACCACTGAGTGACCACGGACACTGACCAGTGACCCCTGAGTGACCACGGACACTGACCAGTGACCACTCATAGTGACCATTCGCACTGACCACTGACCCCTGAGTGACCACTGACACTGACCAGTGACCACTCACACTGACCACTCACACTGACCGCTCACACTGATTGCTGACCACTGAGTAACCACTGACCACTGAGTAACCACTGACCAGTGTCCATCCTCACACTGACCGCTGACTGACCACTGACCATTCACACTGGCCACTGACCATTGACACTGATCACTGACCATTCGCACTGGCCACTGACCATTGACACTGACCACTCATTGACCACTGACCATTCACACTGGCCACTGACCACTCACACTGACCACTCATTGACCACTGACCATTCACACTGGCCACTGACCACTCACACTGACCACTCATTGACCACTGACCATTCACACTGGCCACTGACCATTGACACTGACCACTCATTGACCACTGACCATTCACACTGGCCACTGACCACTCACACTGACCACTCATTGACCACTGACCATTCACACTGGCCACTGACCACTCACACTGACCACTCATTGACCACTGACCATTCACACTGGCCACTGACCACTCACACTGACCACTCATTGACCACTGACCATTCACACTGGCCACTGACCACTCACACTGACCACTCATTGACCACTGACCATTCACACTGGCCACTGACCACTCACACTGACCACTCACACTGACCATTCACACTGGCCACTGACCACTCACACTGACCACTCATTGACCACTGACCACTCACACTGACCACTGACCACTCACACTGACCACTCATTGACCACTGACCATTCACACTGACCACTGACCACTCACACTGACCACTCATTGACCACTGACCATTCACACTGGCCACTGACCACTCACACTGACCATTCATACTGGCCACTGACCACTCACACTGACCACTCATTGACCACTGACCATTCACACTGGCCACTGACCACTCACACTGACCACTCATTGACCACTGACCATTCACACTGGCCACTGACCATTCACACTGACCACTCATTGACCACTGACCATTCACACTGACCATTGACCACTCACTGACCACTGACCATTGTCCATCCTCGCACTGACCACTGACCCCTGAGTGACCACTGACACTGACCAGTGTCCATCCCCACACTGACCACTCACACTGACCAGTGTCCATCTGTCCTAGGGCGAGTCCAAGCGCATCACCCTGGTGCTGCAGCAGACACCGGGCCCCGGTGCCGCACCCGGCCAGCGCCACACTGACCACTGACACTGACCATTGACACTGACCATTCACACACTGACCATTCACACTGACCACTCACACTGACCAGTGTCCATCTGTCCTAGGGCGAGTCCAAGCGCATCACCCTGGTGCTGCAGCAGACACCGGGCCCCGGTGCCGCTGACTGACCATTGACACTGACCATTGACACTGACCATTCACACACTGACCCCTGAGTGACCACTGACCACTGACCAGTGTCCCTCTGTCCTAGGGCGAGTCCAAGCGCATCACCCTGGTGCTGCAGCAGACACCGGGCCCCGGTGCCGCACCCGGCCAGCGCCACACTGACCACTGACTGACCATTGACACTGACCATTCACACACTGACCATTCACACTGACCATTGACACTGACCATTGACTGACCACTGACCAGTGTCCATCTGTCCTAGGGCGAGTCCAAGCGCATCACCCTGGTGCTGCAGCAGACACCGGGCCCCGGTGCCGCACCCGGCCAGCGCCACGTCGTCCTGGGCACGCTGCCCGGCAAGCTGCTCCTGCAGGGCGGGGCCGCGGCCACGCCCGGCGCCACGCCCAAGGCCGCGCCCGGCGCCGCCCCGGCCAAGGTGGTGACCATCCAGCTGCAGGTGCAGCCCCCGGCCGCGGCCGGACAGGCGGCCGGACAGAAGATCCAGCTGCTGCAGCCCGGGGCGGGGCCCGTGGGCGTGGCCCAGGTGCCGCAGGTGGTGGGCGGGGCCGGGCAGAGGCTGACGGTGCCGCTCAAGGTGGTGCTGCAGCCGCAGGTGAGCGGGCGGGGAAACCGGGGAGCGGGCAGTTAAATTTGGGAGTGGTCAGTTAAATTTGGGAGTGGGCAGTTAAATTAGGGAGTGGTCAGTTAAATTTGGGAGTGGTCAGTTAAATTAGGGAGTGGTCAGTTAAATTTGGGAGTGGTCAGTTAAATTAGGGAGTGGTCAGTTAAATTTGGGAGCGGGCAGTTAAATTTGGGAGTGGTCAGTTAAATTTGGGAGTGGGCAGTTAAATTTGGGAGTGGGCAGTTAAATTTGGGAGTGGTCAGTTAAATTTGGGAGTGGTCAGTTAAATTTGGGAGTGGGCAGTTAAATTTGGGAGTGGGCAGTTAAATTTGGGAGTGGGCAGTTAAATTTGGGAGTGGGCAGTTAAATTAGGGAGTGGTCAGTTTGGGGTTTGGGAGTGGGCAGTTAAATTTGGGAGTGGTCAGTTAAATTTGGGAGTGGGCAGTTAAATTTGGGAGTGGTCAGTTAAATTTGGGAGTGGGCAGTTAAATTTGGGAGTGGGCAGTTAAATTTGGGAGTGGTCAGTTAAATTTGGGAGTGGGCAGTTAAATTTGGGAGTGGGCAGTTAAATTTGGGAGTGGTCAGTTAAATTTGGGAGTGGGCAGTTAAATTTGGGAGTGGGCAGTTAAATTTGGGAGTGGTCAGTTTGGGGTTTGGGAGTGGGCAGTTAAATTTGGGAGTGGTCAGTTAAATTTGGGAGTGGGCAGTTAAATTTGGGAGTGGGCAGTTAAATTTGGGAGCGGGCAGTTAAATTAGGGAGTGGTCAGTTTGGGGTGGGAGTGGGCAGTTAAATTTGGGAGTGGGCAGTTAAATTTGGGAGTGGGCAGTTAAATTTGGGAGTGGGCAGTTAAATTTGGGAGTGGTCAGTTAAATTTGGGAGTGGGCAGTTAAATTTGGGAGTGGGCAGTTAAATTTGGGAGTGGTCAGTTTGGGGTTTGGGAGTGGGCAGTTAAATTTGGGAGTGGTCAGTTAAATTTGGGAGTGGGCAGTTAAATTAGGGAGTGGTCAGTTAAATTTGGGAGCGGGCAGTTAAATTAGGGAGTGGTCAGTTTGGGGTTTGGGAGTGGTCAGTTAAATTTGGGAGTGGTCAGTTAAATTTGGGAGTGGGCAGTTAAATTTGGGAGTGGGCAGTTAAATTTGGGAGCGGGCAGTTAAATTTGGGAGCGGGCAGTTAAATTTGGGAGCGGGCAGTTAAATTTGGGAGTGGTCAGTTAAATTTGGGAGTGGTCAGTTAAATTAGGGAGTGGTCAGTTTGGGGTGGGAGTGGTCAGTTAAATTAGGGAGCGGTCAGTTAAATTTGGGAGTGGGCAGTTAAATTAGGGAGTGGTCAGTTAAATTAGGGAGTGGTCAGTTAAATTTGGGAGTGGTCAGTTTGGGGTTTGGGAGTGGTCAGTTAAATTTGGGAGTGGTCAGTTAAATTTGGGAGTGGTCAGTTAAATTTGGGAGTGGGCAGTTAAATTTGGGAGTGGGCAGTTAAATTAGGGAGTGGGCAGTTAAATTAGGGAGTGGGCAGTTAAATTTGGGAGTGGTCAGTGTGGGGTGGGAGTGGTCAGTTAAATTTGGGAGTGGTCAGTGTGGAATAGGAGTGGTCAGTGTGGGGTGGGAGTGGTCAGTGTGGGGTGGGAGTGGTCAGTGTGGATTTGGAGTGGTCAGTGTGGGGTGGGAGTGGTCAGTGTGGGGTGGGGGTGGTCATTTGGGGTGATGGTCAGTTGGGTTTGGGAGTGGTCAGTGTGGGGTCAGAGTGGTCAGTTGGGTTTGGGAGTGGTCATTTGGGGTGATGGTCAGTTGTGTTTGGGAGTGGTCAGTTGGGTTTGTGGTGATGGTCAGTTGGGTTCGGGAGTGGTCAGTTGTGTTTGGGAGCGGTCAGCGTGGGGTGGGAGCGCTCAGTTGGGTTTGCGGTGGTGGTCAGTTGGGTTCGGGAGTGGTCAGTTGTGTTTGGGAGCGGTCAGTGTGGGGTTTGGGAGTGGTCAGTTTGGGGTTTGGGAGCGGTCAGTTTGGGGTTTGGGAGCGGTCAGTTTGGGGTTTGGGAGCGGTCAGTTGTGTTTGGGAGCGGTCAGTTGGGTTTGCAGTGGTGGTCAGTTGTGTTCGGGAGTGGTCAGTTGTGTTTGGGAGCGGTCAGTGTGGGGTTTGGGAGTGGTCAGTTTGGGGTTTGGGAGCGGTCAGTTTGGGGTTTGGGAGTGGTCAGTTGGGTTTGGGAGCGGTCAGTTGGGTTTGCGGCGGTGGTCACTTGGGTTTGCGGTGGTGGTCAGTTGTGTTCGGGAGTGGTCAGTTTGGGGTTTGGGAGCGGTCAGTTGGGTTTGTGGTGATGGTCAGTTGGGTTTGGGAGCGCTCAGTTGGGTTTGTGGTGATGGTCAGTTGGGTTTGGGAGCGGTCAGCGTGGGGTGGGAGCAGTCAGTTGGGTTTGCGGCGGTGGTCAGTTGGGTTTGTGGTGATGGTCAGTTGTGTTTGGGAGCGGTCAGCGTGGGGTGGGAGCGGTCACTTGGGTTTGCGGCGGTGGTCAGTTGGGTTTGGGAGTGGTCAGTTGGGTTTGCGGTGATGGTCAGTTGGGTTTGTGGTGATGGTCAGTTGTGTTTGGGAGCGGTCAGCGTGGGGTGGGAGCGGTCACTTGGGTTTGCGGCGGTGGTCAGTTGGGTTTGGGAGCGGTCACTTGGGTTTGCGGCGGTGGTCAGTTGGGTTTGGGAGTGGTCAGTTGGGTTTGCGGTGATGGTCAGTTGGGTTTGTGGCGGTGGTCAGTTGTGTTTGGGAGCGGTCAGTTTGGGGTTTGGGAGCGGTCAGTTGTGTTTGCGGTGGTGGTCAGTTGTGTTTGGGAGCGGTCAGTTGGGTTTGCGGCGGTGGTCAGTTGTGTTCGGGAGTGGTCAGTTGTGTTTGGGAGCGGTCAGTGTGGGGTTTGGGAGTGGTCAGTTGTGTTTGGGAGCGGTCAGTTTGGGGTTTGGGAGCGGTCAGTTGGGTTTGCGGCGGTGGTCAGTTCAATTTGGCGTGCCGGTCGCCATCCCACCGCGGCGGTCACTCCTCACCGACCGCTGCCCCCCCCCCCCCCCCCCCCCCCAGGCCAGCTCCTCCTCCGGCCCCGCCTCCTCCTCGGGCCTCTCGGTGGTCAAGGTGCTGAGCGGCTCCGAGGTGACCGCGCTGACCGGCGCCCCCGCGCCGTCCCCGCGCGCGGCCGCGGCCGCGGACGAGAGCCGGCGGCTGGAGCACCAGAAGAAGCAGGAGAAGGCGAACCGCATCGTGGCCGAGGCCATCGCGCGCGCCCGCGCCCGCGGCGAGCAGAACATCCCGCGCGTGCTCAACGAGGACGAGCTGCCCAGCGTGCGGCCCGAGGACGAGGGCGACCGCAAGCGCCGGCGCAAGGACAGGGCGGCCGCGGGCAAGGAGGAGCGGCCGCGGCGCGGCAAGGGGCAGGGACGCAGCAAGGCCAGGGCCAAGGCCAGGTGAGGAACCGGGGCGCGGCGGTCGTCAAGGGTCGGCCATCGAAGCTTGGTGTCCGTCGCGGTGTTGGTGGTCATCAAAGTTTGGTGGTCGTCAAGGGTCGGTGGTCATCAAAGATTTGGCCTTGGTGGTCATCAAAATCTGGTCTTGCTGATCATCAAACTTTAGTCTCGGTGGTCATCAAAACTTGGTTTCCATCATGGTCACCCTTGGTCTTGGTGGTCATCAAAGTTTGGGGTTTGTTATGGTCAACCTTGGTCTTGATGGGCATCTTGATGGGCTTGGTGGTCATCAACGCTTGCTGTCCATCACGGTGTTGGTGGTCATCAAAGTTTGGTGGTCATCAAGGGTCGGTGGTCATCAAAGTTTGGCCTTGGCGGTCATCGGAGCTTGGTGTCCGTCGCGGTGTTGGTGGTCATCAAAGTTTGGTGGTCATCAAGGGTCGGTGGTCATCAAAGTTTGGTGGTCATCAAGGGTCGGTGGTCATCAAAGTTTGGTCTTGGCGGTCATCGAAGCTTGGTGTCCATCACGGTGTTGGTGGTCATCAAAGTTTGGTGGTCATCAAGGGTCGGTGGTCATCAAAGTTTGGTCTTGGCGGTCATCGAAGCTTGGTGTCCATCACGGTGTTGGTGGTCATCAAAGTTTGGTGGTCATCAAGGGTCGGTGGTCATCGAAGTTTGGTCTTGGTGGTCATCAAAGCTTGGTGTCCATCACGGTGTTGGTGGTCATCAAAGTTTGGTGGTCATCAAGGGTCGGTGGTCATCGAAGTTTGGTCTTGGTGGTCATCGAAGCTTGGTGTCCGTCACGGTGTTGGTGGTCATCAAAGTTTGGTGGTCATCAAGGGTCGGTGGTCATCAAAGTTTGGTCTTGGTGGTCATCTAAGCTTGGTGTCCATCACGGTGTTGGTGGTCATCAAAGTTTAGACTTGGCGGTCATCAAACTTCAGTGGTGGTCATCAAAGCTTGGTGTTGGTGGTCATCAAAGTTTAGCGGTCATCAGAGGTTGGTGGTCGTGAAAACTTGGTGTCCATCAGGGTCTCAGTGGTCATCAAAGCTTGGTGTCCGTTGTGCTCGTGGTGGTCATCAAAGCTTGGTGTCCATCATGGTGTTGGTGGTCATCAAAACTGGGCGTCCGTGGGGGTCAATCTTGGTTTTGGTGGTCATCAAAACTTGGTGTCCATCATGGTCAACCTTGGTCCTGGTGGTCATCAAAGCTTGGTGTCCATCGTGGTGTTGGTGGCCATCAAAGTTTTGGGTTTGTAGTGGTCAACCTCGGTCTTGATGGGCATCTTGATGGGCGTGGTGGTCATCACAACTTGGTGTCCATCACGGTCAGCCTTGGTCTTGGTGGTCATCAAAGCTTGGTGTCCATCAAGGTCTTGGGGTCATCAGAGGTTGGTGTCCATTGTGGTCAGTCTTGGTCTTGATGGTCATCAAAACTTGGTGGGGTCAGTTGGTCACTCAGTGGTCACTCAGTGGTCACCCAGTGGTCACTCAGGGCCGTTTTGGGCCATTTTAGGGCCATTTTTGGTGGGATTTTATTGGGGATTTTTGGGTTTTTGGTCAGCGGTCACTCAGTGGTCAGTGGTCACCCAGTGGTCACTCAAGGCCATTTTAGGGCCATTTTTTGGGGGATTTTTTGGGGGATTTTTGCGTTTTTGGTCAGTGGTCACTCAGTGGTCAGTGGTCACTCAGGGCCATTTTAGGGCCATTTTTTGGGGGATTTTTTGGGGGATTTTTGTAGTTTTGGTCAGCGGTCACTCAGTGGTCAGTGGTCACTCAGTGGTCACTCAGGACCATTTAGGGCCATTTTAGGGCCATTTTTGGGGGGATTTTTTTGGGATTTTTGTGTTTTTGGTCAGTGGTCACTCAGTGGTCACTCAGCGGTCACTCAGGGCCATTTTAGGGCCATTTTTTGGGGGATTTTTGTGTTTTTGGTCAGCGGTCACTCGTTGGTCACTCGGGGCCATTTTAGGGCCATTTTTGGTGGGATTTTTTGGGGGATTTTTGCGTTTTTGGTCAGCGGTCACTCAGTGGTCAGTGGTCACTCAGTGGTCACTCAGGACCATTTAGGGCCATTTTAGGGCCATTTTTTGGGGGATTTTTTGTGGGATTTTTACGTTTTTGGTCAGTGGTCACTCAGTGGTCAGTGGTCACTCAAGGCCATTTTAGGGCCATTTTTGGTGGGATTTTTTGGGGGATTTTTGCGTTTTTGGTCAGCGGTCACTCAGTGGTCAGTGGTCACTCAGTGGTCACTCAGGGCCATTTAGGGCCATTTTAGGGCCATTTTTGGGGGGATTTTTTTAGGGATTTTTGTGTTTTTGGTCAGTGGTCACTCAGTGGTCAGTGGTCACTCAGGGCCATTTTAGAGCCATTTTTTGTGGGATTTTTTGTGGGATTTTTACGTTTTTGGTCAGTGGTCACTCAGTGGTCAGTGGTCACGCAGTGGTCACTCAAGGCCATTTTAGGGCCATTTTTGGTGGGATTTTTTTGGGATTTTTGTGTTTTTGGTCAGTGGTCACTCAGTGGTCACTCAGCGGTCACTCAGGGCCATTTTAGGGCCATTTTTTGGGGGATTTTTGTGTGTTTGGTCAGTGGTCACTCAGTGGTCACTCGTTGGTCACTCAGGGCCATTTTAGGGCCATTTTTGGTGGGATTTTTTGGGGGATTTTTGTGTTTTTGGTCAGCGGTCACTCGGTGGTCACTCGGTGGTCACTCTGTCCGCAGCACCATCACGCCGGTGGTCAGCAAGAAGCGCAAGCGCAACGCCAGCTCGGACAACTCGGACTCGGAGGCGCTGCCGGCGCCGTCCCCGCGCCAGGACGACGACGGCGGGGGAGGGGGCGGGGGCGGAGTCCAGGTGAGACGGGGCGGGGTCACCTGGGGAGGGTGGGGTCACCTAGATGGGCGTGGTCACCTGGGTGTGGTCACCTGCACCAGGTGTGGTCACCTGGATATGTGAGGTCACCCGGGTGGGTGTGGTCCCCTAGGTGGGCGTGGTCACCTGGCCAGGTGTGGTCACCTGAGGTGGGTGTGGTTACCTGGATGGGTGGAGTCACCTGCTCTGGGTCACCTGGCTGTTTGAGCCCACCTGGTGGGGTGTGTTTTACCTGCACGTGTCCCACCTGAGGTGGGTGTGTCCCACCCGTGTGTCCCACCTGAATTGGGCGTGTCCCGCCTGTCCACGTCCCACCTGTGTCTGTCTCACCTGTCCGTGTCCCACCTGTCCGTGTCCCACCTGTCCGGCCGTGTCCCACCTGTGTCTGTCCCGCCTGTGTCTGTCCCACCTGTCCCATCCCACCTGTCCGTGTCCCACCTGTGTCTGTCCCACCTGTCCCATCCCACCTGTCCCATCCCACCTGTGTCTGTCCCACCTGTGTCTGTCCCGCCTGTGTCTGTCCCACCTGTCCCATCCCACCTGTCCGTGTCCCACCTGTGTCTGTCCCGCCTGTGTCTGTCCCACCTGTCCGTGTCCCACCTGTGTCTGTCCCACCTGTCCCATCCCACCTGTCCCTTACCTGTAGGAAGGTCATTCCAGCCGCCAGGTGAAGCGCAAGAAGCTCACGGAGGAGCTGGACACGGAGCTGTGTCCCACCACACTGTCCATCTGTCCATCTGTCCATCCATGTCTCACCTGTCCCACCTGTCTCACCTGTCCGTATCTCACCTGTCCATGTCTCACCTGCAGAAGCGGCGCTCAAACCGGCAGGTGAAGCGCAAGAAGCGCACGGAGGACCTGGACATGGAGCTGTGTCCCACCACACTGTCCATCTGTCCATCTGTCCATGTCTCACCTGTCCCACCTGTCCATGTCCCATGTCTCACCTGTCCCATCTCACCTGTCCCCCCAGAAGCGGCGCTCGAACCGGCAGGTGAAGCGCAAGAAGCGCACGGAGGACCTGGACACGGAGCTGTGTCCCACCACACTGTCCATCTGTCCATCTCTCACCCGTCCATCTGTCCATCCATATCTCACCTGTCCCACCTGTCTCACCTGTCCGTATCTCACCTGCCCGTATCTCACCTGTCCGTGTCTCACCTGCAGAAGCGGCGCTCGAACCGGCAGGTGAAGCGCAAGAAGTACACGGAGGACCTGGACATCAAGCTGACGGACGACGAGGAGCTGGACGAGGAGCTGGACGTGACCGGACCGGCGGCGGCGGCGCGGCCGGAGAGCGCCGACCACGAGCGGCCGCCGGCGCCGAGCGCGCCCAGCGCGGGCACGGACGGCGAGGGCGCGGACGCGGCGCTGCCCTCCATGCAGTTCTTCGTGGTGGGTGGCCTTCGTCACCTTCATCCTCCTCATCCTCGCCTTCGTCTTCATCTCTATCTTCATCCTTATCTTCATCCTTATCTTCATCTTCATCCTTATCTTCATCCTCACCTTCATCTTCTCCGTCTTTGTCACCTCCCTGCCCTCCATGCAGTTCTTCGTGGTGGGTGGCCTTCGTCACCTTCATCCTCCTCATCCTCACCTTCATCTTCATCCTTATCTTCATCCTCACCTTCATCTTCATCCTTATCTTCATCTTCATCCCTATCTTTATCCTTATCTTCATCTTCATCTTTATCTTCTCCATCTCGGTCATCTCCCTGCCCTCCATGCAGTTCTTCGTGGTGGGTGGCCTTCGTCACCTTCATCATCTTCATCCTCGCCTTCATCTTCATCCCTATCTTCATCCTCACCTTCATCTTCATCCTTATCTTCATCTTCATCCCTATCTTTATCCTTATCTTCATCTTCATCTTTATCTTCTCCATCTCGGTCATCTCCCTGCCCTCCATGCAGTTCTTCATGGTGGGTGGCCTTCATCATCTTCATCATCTTCATCCTCGCCTTCATCTTCATCCTTATCTTCATCTTCATCCTTATCTTCATCTTCATCCTTATCTTCATGTTCATCTTCATCTTTGTCCTCTCCATCTCGGTCGTCTCCCTGCCCTCCACGCAGTTCTTCGTGGTGGGTGGTTGTCATCTTCGTCTTCATCCTCATCATCCTCTTCGTAGTCATTCTTGGCTCGTTTACGTTCCCGGCCTTTGTCTCCATCATCTTCATCACCTCCGTTTCCACGGCCTCTCTCCATCTCCGTGACCTTCATCCCCATCATCTTCGTCACCTTCTCCATCTCCGTGATCTTCCTCACTGTCTTCACCACCTTCATCCTCCTCACCTTCTCCACCACCTTCATCCTCCTCACCTTCTCCATCTCCATGACCTGCCTCACCTTCTCCTCCACCTTCATCCTCCTCACCTTCTCCTCCACCTTCATCCTCCTCACCTCCTCCATCTCCATGACCTTCCTCACCTTCTCCACCACCTTCATCCTCCTCACCTCCTCCATCTCCATGACCTTCCTCACCTCCTCCTCCACCTTCATCCTCCTCACCTCCTCCATCTCCATGACCTTCCTCACCTTCTCCACCACCTTCATCCTCCTCACCTCCTCCATCTCCATGACCTTCCTCACCTTCTCCTCCACCTTCATCCTCCTCACCTTCTCCTCCACCTTCATCCTCCTCACCTCCCCCACCTTCATCCTCCTCACCTCCTCCATCTCCATGACCTGCCTCGTCTTCTCCTCCACCTTCATCCTCCTCACCTCCTCCATCTCCATGACCTTCCTCACCTCCTCCACCACCTTCATCCTCCTCACCTTCTCCTCCACCTTCATCCTCCTCACCTCCTCCACCACCTTCATCCTCCTCACCTCCTCCATCTCCATGACCTTCCTCACCTTCTCCTCCACCTTCATCCTCCTCACCTCCTCCATCTCCATGACCTTCCTCACCTTCTCCTCCACCTTCATCCTCCTCACCTCCCCCACCTTCATCCTCCTCACCTCCTCCATCTCCATGACCTGCCTCGTCTTCTCCTCCACCTTCATCTTCCTCACCTTCTCCTTCACCTTCATCCTCCTCATCTTCTCCATCTCCATGACCTTCCTCACCTTCTCCTCCACCTTCATCCTCCTCACCTTCTCCTCCACCTTCATCCTCCTCACCTCCTCCACCTCCACGCCCTTCATCCCCATCCCACGGCCTTCATCCCCGTGGCCTTCCTCCTCCTCACCCTCCTCCTCCTCCTCCTCCTGGCGCAGGAGAACCCGAGCGAGGAGGACGCGGCCATCGTGGACAAGGTGCTGTCCATGCGCGTGGTCAAGAAGGAGGTCAGTGCCCCGGTGGTCACTCCGTGGTCACTCCCGTGGCCTGGGGGGGGGGGGGTGTGGTGGCCTCCCGGCCTTCGTCCCCACCCTCATCGTCCTCGCCCTCCTCGCCCGCAGCTGCCGTCGGGACAGTTGGTGGAGGCCGAGGAGTTCTTCGTCAAGTACAAGAACTAGTGAGTGGTCACTCGGGGTCATTTATGGTCACTCGGGGTCACTCGGGGTCACTCGGGGTCATTTATGGTCACTCGGGGTCATTTATGGTCACTCGGGGTCACTCCTGGTCACTCGGGGTCACTCGGGGTCATTCGGGGTCACTCGTGGTCATTCGGGGTCAGTTTGGGGTCATTTGGGGTCGGTTTGGGGTCATTTTGCGTCGGTTTGGAGCCATTGGTCATTTGGGGTCATTTGGGGTCACTCGTGGCCATTTGGGGTCACTTGTGGTCAGTTGGGGTCACTCGTGGTCATTCATGGTCACTCGTGGTCATTCATGGTCACTCGTGGTCATTTGGGGTCGGTTTGGGGTCATTTGGGGTCGGTTTGGGGCCATTGGTCATTTGGGGTCATTTGGGGTCACTTGTGGCCATTTGGGGTCACTCGTGGTCAGTTGGGGTCACTCGGGGTCACTCGGGGACTCGGGGTCACTTGTGGCCATTTACGGTCACTCGTGGTCATTTGGGGTCGGTTTGGGGCCATTGGTCATTTGGGGTCATTTGGGGTCACTCGTGGTCACTTATGGTCATTTGGGGTCAGTTCTGGTCATTTATGGTCAGTTGTCATTTGGGGTCACTCGGGGTCACTCGGGGTCATTTGGGATCAGTTCTGGTCATTCGTGGTCACTCGTGGTCAGTCGGGGTCAGCTTGGGGTCAGTTTGGGGTCATTTTGGGTCGGTTTGGGGTTGGTTTGGGGTCACTCGCGGTCATTCGGGGTGACTTGTGGTCACTCGCGGTCACTCGCGGTCACTCGCGGTCACTCGCGGTCACCTGGCCCCGCCCCCAGCTCGTACCTGCCCTGCGAGTGGGCGACGATGGCGCAGCCGGAGAGGGGCGGCTTTGGGGCATTTTGGGGTCATTTTGGGCCATTTTGGGACATTTTATGGCGTTTTGGGGCATTTTGGGGTAATTTTGTGTGTTTTGAGCTCGGTTTTTGTTGATTTCGGGGTCGTTTTGGGGTTGGTTTCGGGCAGTTTGGGGTTGTTTTTGCTCATTTCAGGGTAATTTTTGGGGTGTTTTGGGATCGTTTTGGGATCATTTTCAGGTGGTTTTGGGGCATTTTTGTGTCATTTTGGGGTGGTTTTAGGTCATTTTGGGGTCGTTTTTAGGCATTCCGCGCTCACTCTTTCTGGGGCGTTTTGGGGTTGTTTTACGCTGATTTTGGGGTGGTTTTGGGCCATTTTTGGGCATTTTGGGATCCGTTTCTGGGCGTTTTGGGTTAGTTTTTGCTCATTTTGGGGTCGTTTTTGCTCGCGCTGGGGCAGTTTCGGGGCGGTTTTGGGGCATTTTGGAGCGGTTTTGGTGTCGTTTTTGCTCATTTTGGGGCCGTTTTTGGGTCATTTTTGGGGTGACCTTGTGATTGGCTGTGGAGGGGGCGTGGCCCTCACCTGGCCCCGCCCCCAGCTCGTACCTGCACTGCGAGTGGGCGACGATCGCGCAGCTGGAGAAGGACAAACGCATCCACCAGAAGCTGAAGCGCTTCAAGACCAAAATGAACCAAATGCGGCACTTCTTCCACGAGGTTCGGGCTGAAACCCGGGGATTTTGGGAAAAAACGGGGGGTTGGGGAAAAAAATTGGGGTTTTTTGGGGGAAAAATGGGGTTTTTTTGGGGAAAAAATGGGGTTTTTTGTGGGAAAATTAGATTTTTGAGGGGTTTTTTGGAGGAGGGGGAAGAGGGGTTTTGGGGAAAAACCAGTTTTTTTAAAGGGGAAAAATTAGGTTTTTTTGGCGGGGGGGGGGGGAAATGGGGATTTTTTGGGGAAAAAATTGGGGATTTTTGGGAAAAAAAGGGGTTTTTTGGGAAAAAAAAATGGGTTTTTTGGGGGGAAAATTTGAAGTTTTTTGGGGGTAAAAATGATGGTATTTTGGAGAGGGAAAAATGAGGTTTTGGGGGAGTAATAAGTATTTAGGGTAAAAGTTGGGGGTTTTGAGAGAAAATAGGGATTTTTTGGGGAAAAAATGCAGGGTTTTGTTGGGAGAAATGAGGCTTTTTTGGGGGGAAAAAATGGAGGTTTTTTGGAGGAAAAATTGGGGTTTTTTGGGGGAAAATTGGGAGTTTTGAGGGGAGAAAATTGGGGATTTTTTGGGAAAAAATTGGGAATATTTTTGAGGAACAGCAGGGAACCGGGGGAAGAGGAGTATTTGGGGTGAAAAATGAGGATTTTGGGTTTTTCCAGGACGAGGAGCCCTTCAACCCCGACTACGTGGAGGTCGATCGGATCCTGGACGAGTCGCACAGCGTGGACAAGGACAACGGCGAGGTCCGGGGCCAAAACGGGGCAAAAAACGGCGATTTTGGGGGTGGGGGCAAAAAATGGGGCAAAAAACGGCGATTTTGGGGGTGGGGGCAAAAAATGGGGCAAAAAATGGGGCAAAAAATGGGGATTTTGGGGGTGTTAGAGAGCAGGTGTGTCTCTCCCCAGCCCGTGGTGTATTACCTGGTGCAATGGGGGTTACCTGGGGCAGTTACCTGTGCAGGTGTCGTTACCTGTGTACAGGTGTGACTCACCTGTGCAGGTGTGTCTCTCCCCAGCCCGTGGTGTATTACCTGGTGCAATGGTGCTCGTTGCCGTATGAGGACAGCACCTGGGAGCTGCAGGAGGGGTTACCTGTATCCAGGTGTGAATCACCTGTCAGTTACCTGACCAGGTGTGTTACCTGTCTCACCTGTGCAGCCCGTGGTGTATTACCTGGTGCAATGGTGCTCGTTGCCGTATGAGGACAGCACCTGGGAGCTGCAGGAGGGGTTACCTGTATCCAGGTGTGAATCACCTGTCAGTTACCTGACCAGGTGTGTTACCTGTCTCACCTGTGCAGCCCGTGGTGTATTACCTGGTGAAATGGTGCTCGTTGCCGTATGAGGACAGCACCTGGGAGCTGCAGGAGGGGTTACCTGTATCCAGGTGTGAATCACCTGTCAGTTACCTGACCAGGTGTGTTACCTGTCTCACCTGTGCAGCCCGTGGTGTATTACCTGGTGCAATGGTGCTCGTTGCCGTATGAGGACAGCACCTGGGAGCTGCAGGAGGGGTTACCTGTATCCAGGTGTGAATCACCTGTCAGTTACCTGACCAGGTGTGTCACCTGTCTCACCTGTGCAGCCCGTGGTGTATTACCTGGTGAAATGGTGCTCGTTGCCGTATGAGGACAGCACCTGGGAGCTGCAGGAGGGGTTACCTGTATCCAGGTGTGAATCACCTGTCAGTTACCTGACCAGGTGTGTCACCTGTCTCACCTGTGCAGCCCGTGGTGTATTACCTGGTGAAATGGTGCTCGTTGCCGTATGAGGACAGCACCTGGGAGCTGCAGGAGGACGTGGACGAGGCCAAGGTGGCCGAGTTCAAGCGGATCCAGGCGCGGCACCCCGAGCTCAAGAGACAGGTGAGGCCACGCCCCCGCGCGCAGGTGAGGCCACGCCCACCTTTAATGCGAGCTGTGCTGCCGTACAGGTGAGCTCTGTGGCTATACAGGTGTTTTACCTGTCTCTCGTTTTAATCTCACCTGCGCTTCACCCGTGTTTTACCTGTATGGGTTATCTCACCTGTGTTTCACCTGTGTCTCACCTGTCACTCACCTGTGTGACTCACCTGTACCTTACCTGTATATCTCACCTGTATATCTCGCCTGTATATCTCACCCGTGTCTCACCTGTGTCTCACCTGTGTCTCACCTGTATATCTCACCTGTATATCTCACTTGTATCTCACCTGTGTCTCACCTGTGTCTCACCTGTCACTCACCTGTGTGAGTTATCTCAGTTGTGTTTTACCTGTATCCCACTTTAATCTCACCTGTAGCTCGCCAGTATGGGTTATCTCACCTGTGTGCCTCACCTGTACCTTACCTGTATATCTCACCTGTATATCTCACCTGTGTCTCACCTGTATCTCACCTGTGTCTCACCTGTGAGAGTTATCTCAGTTGTGTTTTACCTGTATCCCACTTTAATCTCACCTGTAGCTCACCAGTATGGGTTATCTCACCTGTGTGCCTCACCTGTACCTTACCTGTATATCTCACCTGTATCTCTCACCTGTGTCTCACCTGTATCTCACCTGTGTCTCACCTGTCACTCACCTGTGTGAGTTATCTCAGTTGTGTTTTACCTGTATCCCACTTTAATCTCACCTGTGCCTCACCTGTATGGGTTATCTCACCTGTGTGCCTCACCTGTATCTCACCTGTATATCTCACCTGTATATCTCACCTGTATATCTCACCTGTATCTCACCTGTATATCTCACCTGTATATCTCACCTGTGTCTCACCTGTGTCTCACCTGTATATCTCACCTGTATATCTCACCTGTATCTCACCTGTGTCTCACCTGTGTCTCACCTGTATATCTCACCTGTATATCTCACCTGTGTCTCACCTGTGTCTCACCTGTATCTCACCTGTAACTCACCTGTATCTCACCTGTATATCTCACCTGTATATCTCACCTGTAACTCACCTGTATGGGTTATCTCAGCTGTATATCTCACCTGTATATCTCACCTGTGTCTCACCTGTGTCTCACCTGTCGCAGCCCCGCCCCCAGGCCGGCGCCTGGAAGAAGCTCGAGGCGTCGCACGAGTACAAGAACCACAACCAGCTGCGGGAGTACCAGCTGGAGGGGGTGAACTGGCTGCTCTTCAACTGGTACAACAGGTGAGCTCACCTGTCCGACAGGTAAACACACCTGGGCACACCTGGGGAATGGCTGAGGGGCGGGGGAACACCTGGGACAGGTGAGGGTACCGGCTGAGGGAGTACCAGCTGGAGGGGGTGAACTGGCTGCTCTTCAACTGGTACAACAGGTGAGCACACCTGTCCGACAGGTAAACACACCTGGGCACAGGTAAACACACCTGGGACAAGTAAATACACCTGGGCACAGGTAAACACACCTGGGACAGGTAAACACACCTGGGACAGGTAAATACACCTGGGACAGGTAAATCCAACTGATATGGGAATGGGAAAATGGATGGGACAGGTGAAGGTACCTTACCTATCTCAGGTACATGTCACCTGTCCCAGGTGTGTCTCAGGTGTGTTTTATTTATCCCAGGTGTACCTTACCTGTTTCAGGTGTATCCCAGGTACACGTTACCGTTCCCAGGTGTATCTCCGGTATAGATTACCTGTCCTAGGTGTATCCCAGGTGTCTTTCAAGTGTAGGTTACCTGTCCCAGGTGTACCTTACCTGTCCCAGGTGTATGTTAGGTACATGTTACCTATCCCAGGTGTGTCCGTCACCTGTGTCCCACCTGTCCCGCAGGCAGAACCGCACCCTGGCGGACGAGATGGGGCTGGGCCAGACCAACCCCTGTCCCTCAGGTGTACCTCACCTGTCCCCGGTGTATCCCAGGTGTATCCCAGGCGTACCTTACCTGCGTCTCACCTGTGTCCCACCTGTCCCGCAGGCAGAACTGCATCCTGGCGGACGAGATGGGGCTGGGCAAGACGATCCAGTCGATCGCGTTCCTGCAGGAGGTGCACGGCGCAGGTGTGCGCGGCCCCTACCTGGTGATCGCGCCGCTCTCCACCATCGCCAACTGGGAGCGCGAGTTCGGCACCTGGACGCACCTGAACACCATCGTGTACCACGGCAGCCTGGCCAGCCGGCAGATGATCCAGCAGTACGAGATGTACTGCAAGGACGGCAAGGTGAGCTCACCTGGGCAGGTAACACACCTGTATGGGATCCCTGATACACCTGTATGGGATCTATAATATACCTGTGCACACCTGTGCAGCCTGGCCAGCCGGCAGGTGACCCAGCAGTACGAGATGTACTGCAAGGACGGCAAGGTGAGCTCACCTGGGCAGGTAACACACCTGTATGGGATCCCTGATGCACCTGTATGGGATCTATAATATACCTGTGCACACCTGTGCAGCCTGGCCAGCCGGCAGATGATCCAGCAGTACGAGATGTACTGCAAGGACGGCAAGGTGAGCTCACCTGGGCAGGTAACACACCTGTATGGGGGCTGTAACACACCTGTATGGGATCCCTGATGCACCTGTATGGGGTCACTGACACACCTGTGCAGCCTGGCCAGCCGGCAGGTGACCCAGCAGTACGAGATGTACTGCAAGGACAGCAAGGTGAGCTCACCTGGGCAGGTAACACACCTGTATGGGATCCCTGATGCACCTGTATGGGATCTATAATATACCTGTGACACACCTGTGCAGCCTGGCCAGCCGGCAGGTGACCCAGCAGTACGAGATGTACTGCAAGGACGGCAAGGTGAGCTCACCTGGGCAGGTAACACACCTGTATGGGGGCTGTAACGCACCTGTATGGGATCCCTGATGCACCTGTATGGGATCTATAATATACCTGTGCACACCTGTGCAGCCTGGCCAGCCGGCAGGTGACTCAGCAGTACGAGATGTACTGCAAGGACAGCAAGGTGAGCTCACCTGGGCAGGTAACACACCTGTATGGGATCTCTGATGCACCTGTATGGGATCCCTGATGCACCTGTATGGGATCTATAATATACCTGTGACACACCTGTGCGGCCTGGCCAGCCGGCAGGTGACCCAGCAGTACGAGATGTACTGCAAGGACGGCAAGGTGAGCTCACCTGGGCAGGTAACACACCTGTATGGGGGCTGTAACACACCTGTATGGGATCTCTGATGCACCTGTATGGGATCTATAATATATCTGTGACACACCTGTGCGGCCTGGCCAGCCGGCAGGTGACCCAGCAGTACGAGATGTACTGCAAGGACGGCAAGGTGAGCTCACCTGGGCAGGTAACACACCTGTATGGGATCTCTGATACACCTGTATGGGATCTATAATATACCTGTGACACACCTGTGCAGCCTGGCTAGCCGGCAGGTGACCCAGCAGTACGAGATGTACTGCAAGGACAGCAAGGTGAGCTCACCTGGGCAGGTAACACACCTGTATGGGATCCCTGATACACCTGTATGGGGTCACTGACACACCTGTGCAGCCTGGCCAGCCGGCAGGTGACCCAGCAGTACGAGATGTACTGCAAGGACGGCAAGGTGAGCTCACCTGGGCACACCTGTGCACACCTGTAAGATACCTGTGGACGTCAGTGCACGCCTGTAGACGCACACCAAGGTGCACCACAGCAACCTGGCAGGTGATCCAGCGCCACAAAGCACCCTCAAGCCACAGCCAGGTGACCTCACCTGTCTCACCTGTGCACACCTGTGCACACCTGTGCACACCTGTGCACACCTGTATAGGATTTACGACAGACTTGCACGCACACCAAGGCGCACCACAGTAACCTGGCAGGTGATCCAGCGCCACAAAACAGCCCCAAATGACAGCCAGGTGAGCTCACCTGTCTCACCTGTGCACACCTGGATGGGGTCAGCGTTGCACTTTAAAGGTGTTTACGTACCTGTGTCTGTACCTCACCGTACGGCATTGGACTGGCAGGTAATTTGGCAGGACAGGGCGCTCTCAAATGACAGCCAGGTGAGCTCACCTGTCTCACCTGTAGCACACCTGTACACGCTTGAATGAGATTGATAGCATACCGTGGGGGGCCACATTGACCTGGCAGGTGATTCAGCACCGCAGAGCGCTGTTACACCACATCCAGGTGCGCTCGCCCGCCTCACCTGTGCGCACCTGTCGCACCTGTAGCACACCTGTACACACTTGAATGAGATTGATAACATACCGTGGGGGGCCACATTGACCTGGCAGGTGATTCAGCACCGCAGAGCGCTGTTACACCACATCCAGGTGCGCTCGCCCGCCTCACCTGCGCGCACCTGTCGCACCTGCAGGGCCGGCTGATCCCGGGCGCGTACAAGTTCGACGCGCTGATCACGACGTTCGAGATGATCCTGTCGGACTGCCCCGAGCTGCGCGAGGTCCAGTGGCGCTGCGTGGTCATCGACGAGGCGCACCGCCTGAAGAACCGGCACTGCAAGCTGCTGGACAGCCTCAAGCACATGGACCTGGTCAGTGGCACACCTGGGCACGCACCTGGGCACGCACCTGGGCACGCACCTGGGCACACCTGGGGGGGAAAGAACAAAACCAGAACCCAATTTTTTCCCATTACCTGTGTTATATCTCCTCACCTGTGTCAGCTGTCTCACCTGTGTCACCTGTCTCACCTGTGTCAGCTGTCTCACCTGCAGGAGCACAAGGTGCTGCTCACCGGCACACCTTTGCAGAACACGGTCCAGGAGCTCTCCAGCCTCACCTGTCCCAGTTTTTTACCCCTTTTCCCCGTTTTTTACCCCGTTTTTTCCCTCACCTGTCTCACCTGTCTCACCTGTGTCACCTGTCTCACCTGCAGGAGCACAAGGTGCTGCTCACCGGCACACCTGTGCAGAACACGGTCCAGGAGCTCTCCAGTCTCACCTGGATCAGTTTTTTACCCCTTTTCCCCGTTTTTTACCCCGTTTTTTCCCTCACCTGTCTCACCTGTCTCACCTGTGTCACCTGTCTCACCTGCAGGAGCACAAGGTGTTGCTCACCGGCACACCTTTGCAGAACACGGTCGAGGAGCTCTTCAGCCTCCTGCACTTCCTGGAGCCGTCGCAGTTCCCGTCCGAGGCCGAGTTCCTCAAGGACTTCGGGGACCTGAAAACCGAGGAGCAGGTGAGGGGCGCACCTGGGCGCACCTGGGCGCACCTGGGTGGGGTCGGAACCTGAATGGAGGCACCTGGGGAGGGTCTGGGACGGGTTTGATGTCATTTGATGGTCTTAAAAATGAATTTTGGGCTCACCTGAGCACACCTGGGCACACCTGGGCACACCTGAGCACAGCCAAAACGCACCTGAGCATGCCTGGGCACGCCTGGGTGTACCTGGGTGTACCTGGGGAGGGTTTGGGAGGAGTTTGAAGTCATTTGGTGGTTTTTGGGAGGGGTTTTGGGCTCACCTGGGCACACCTGGACAGGTTGTGGATTTTCTGATCCTTGCTGAGGTGTGACCAGGTGTGACAGGTGTGGCTATAACCTTACTCAGGTGTGACAGGTGTGGGCATAGCCAGTCCCAGGTGTGACAGGTGTGGCTATAACCTTACTCAGGTGTGACAGGTGTGGGCATAGCCAGTCCCAGGTGTGGCAGGTGTGGCTATAACCTTACTCAGGTGTGACAGGTGTGGGCATAGCCAGTCCCAGGTGTGACAGGTGTGGCTATAACCTTACTCAGGTGTGACAGGTGTGGGCATAGCCAGTCCCAGGTGTGACAGGTGTGGCTATAACCTTACTCAGGTGTGACAGGTGTGGGCATAGCCAGTCCCAGGTGTGGCAGGTGTGGCTATAACCTTACTCAGGTGTGACAGGTGTGGGTATAGCCAGTCCCAGGTGTGACAGGTGTGGCTGTGGCTCCTCGTAGGCACCTGGGCATGACCCCTAGACCTTTCCGAGGTGTTACAGGTGTGTTTTACCTGTGTCCCACCTGCGTAGGTGCAGAAGCTGCAGGCCCTGCTGAAACCCATGATGGTCTCACCTGTCCCTTACCTGTATTTTACCTGTGCAGGTGCAGAAGCTGCAGGCTCTATTGAAACCCATGATGGTCTCACCTGTCTCACCTGTCCCTTACCTGTGTTTTACCTGTGCAGGTGCAGAAGCTGCAGGCTCTATTGAAACCCATGATGGTCTCACCTGTCTCACCTGTCCCTTACCTGTCTCACCTGCACAGGTGCAGAAGCTGCAGGCCCTGCTGAAGCCCATGATGCTGCGGCGCCTCAAGGAGGACGTGGAGAAGAACCTGGCGCCCAAGCAGGAGACCATCATCGAGGTGGAGCTGACCAACGCGCAGAAGCGCCTGTACCGCGCCATCCTCGAGAGGAACTTCGCCTACCTGGCCCGGGGGGCGGGGCACGGCAACGTGCCCAACCTGCTCAACACCATGATGGAGCTGCGCAAGTGCTGCAACCACCCCTACCTCATCAACGGTGGGCACCCGCGCACACCCGGGCGCACCTGGGCACGGGGGTGGGCTCGGGAAGTTCTCAGAGGTGGTTTTATGGAGTCTCTGGTGGTCACTGATGGTCACTGATGTTTTCCTGAAGTTCTCGGCGATGGTTTGATGGAGCTTTTGATGGTGGTGTATGTTCTCCTGATGTTCTCCTGAAGTTCTTATGGGTGTTTTGCGGAGCTTTGAGCGGTCTTTGATGTTTTTATGGAACTAGTGGGCGTCAGTGATGGGTACCTGAAGCTCACAGCCATGGTTTGATGGAGCCATTCATAGCTAGTGGTGGTACCATGATCATTGGTGTTCTCCTGAAGTTTTCAAAGGAGGTTTTATGGAGTCTCTGGTGGTCACTGATGGTCATTGATGTTGTCCCGAAGTTTTCAGTGGTGGTTTGATGGAAATTTTGGTGGTGGTCCATGTTCTCCTGAGGTTGTTATGGATGCTTTATGGAGCTATGAGCGATCAATGATGGTTTTATGGAGCCTAGGGTCGTCAGTGAGGGTAATCAACATTTTTCTGAAGTTCTCAGAGATGGTTTGATGGAGCCATAGGTGGTCATTGATGTTGTCCTGAAGTTCTCAGAGGTGGTTTTATGGAGTGTCTGGTGGTCACTGATGGTCACTGATGTTTTCCTGAAGTTCTCAGTGATGGTTTGATGGAGCTTTTGGTGGTGGTCTGTGTTCTCCTGATGTTCCTTTGAGAGTTTATGAAACTATAAGCGGTCAATGATGATCACTGGTGGTTTTACGGAACTTAGGGTGGTCGGTGACGATTGCCAATGTTCTACTGAAGGTCTTAGAGGTGGTTTTATGGAACCATTGGTAGTCATTGATGTTCTCCTGAAGTTCTCAGAGGTGGTTTTATGGAGTGTTTGGTGGTCACTGATGGTCACTGATGTTTTCCCGAAGTTCTCAGTGGTGGTTTGATGGAACTTCTGGTGGTGGTCTATGTTCTCGTGATGTTCTTTAGGATGTTTTGTGGAACTATTGATGGTTTTTGATGTTTTTATGGAACCAGAGATGGACAGTGACGGTAACCAATGTTCTCCTGAAGTTCTTAGAGATAAATTTGTGCAACTATAGGTGGTCATTGGTGTTCTCATGAAGTTCTCAAAGATGGTTTTATGGAGTTCCTGGTGGTCAGTGACGGTAACCAATGTTCTCCTGAAGATCTCAGACATTATTTGATGGAACTTTTGATGGTGGCTGATGTTCTCCTGATGTTCTTTTGAGGTTCTTTTGGATGTTTTATGGAACCGTTGATGGTTTTTGACGTTCTTACGGAACCGTGGATGGTCAGTGACCCCAGGGGTGGTCACAGAAGGTCTCACCCGTCCGCAGGTGCGGAGGAGCAGATCGTGGCCGAGCTGAGGGCCTCCCTGCCCGCGCTGCCCGGCCCCGAGCTGGCGCTGCAGGCCCTGGTGCGCTCGGCCGGCAAGCTGGTGCTGCTGGACAAGCTGCTGCCCCGGCTGCGCGCGGGAGGACACAAGGTGCTGGTCTTCTCGCAGATGGTGCGCTGCCTGGACATCCTGGAGGACTACCTCATCCAGAAACGGTCAGCGTTCAGGGGGAAAAGCCGCGATTTTGGGAAAAACGGGAAAAACCTGGAGAAAATGGGGCCTTTGGGGAAAAAACAAGGGGAAAATGGGACCTGAAGGTCTGAAGGTCCACCTGGACATCCTGGAGGAGGAGCTCTTCCAGAACCGGTGCAGGGTTCGGAGCAAAAACCGGGAGCGCCGGAGCTCCCCGGTGGCCACGGTGACCTCCTGTTGTCCCCTGCAGGTACCCGTACGAGCGCATCGACGGGCGCGTGCGGGGCAACCTGCGCCAGGCCGCCATCGACCGCTTCAGCCGGCCGGACTCGGACCGCTTCGTGTTCCTGCTGTGCACGCGGGCCGGCGGGCTGGGCATCAACCTGACGGCGGCCGACACCTGCATCATCTTCGACTCGGACTGGAACCCCCAGAACGACCTCCAGGTGAGGGGTCCGCCAGGGGTTTGGGTGGTGGGATGGGGTCTGCAGAGGGTTCGGGGCGGCGGGGCGGAGTTTTGGAGTCGTTTGGAGAGGTGGCGCGGGAGTTGGAGAACGTTGGGTGGGGTCTACCAAAGGTTTGGGAGGGTGGGGCGGAGTTTTGGAGTCGTTTGGAGAGGTGGCGCGGGAGTTGGAGAACGTTGGGTGGGGTCTACCAAAGGTTTGGGAGGGTGGGGCGGAGTTTTGGAGTCGTTTGGAGAGGTGGCGCGGGAGTTGGAGAACGTTGGGTGGGGTCTACCAAAGGTTTGGGAGGGTGGGGCGGAGTTTTGGAGTCGTTTGGAGAGGTGGCGCGGGAGTTGGAGAACGTTGGGTGGGGTCTACCAAAGGTTTGGGAGGGTGGGGCGGAGTTTTGAGGCGGTGGGATGGGGTCTACCAGGGGTTTGGGTGGTGGGATGGGGTCTGCAGAGGGTTCGGGGTGGTGGGGTGGAGCTGTGGAGTTATCGGGAGCTGTTTCTGAAGAGTTGGAGAACGCGGAACGGGATCTACCAGGGGTTTGGGTGGCGGGATGGGATCCACCAGGAGTTTGAGGTACCGGGATGGGATCTACCGAGGCTTTGGAGATCGCGCGGTCGGGTTTGGAGATCGCGGAACGGGATCTTCCAAGGCTTTGAGCTCCCGCGGTGGTCCCACCGTGGTTTGCGTCCCCCTGACGTCCCCGTGTGTCCCCCCCATCCAGGCGCAGGCGCGGGGCCACCGCATCGGGCAGAGCAAGGCGGTCGAGGTCCTGTGGTGGCCCCGCCGTGGTTTGAGGTTCTGTGGGGGTCCTACCAGAGCACTGAAGGTTCTGTGGTGGCCCCACCATGGTTCGGTTGGTGTCCCACCATGGTTCCTGTCCCACCATGGTTCGGTTGGTGTCCCACCATGGTTCCTGTCCCACCATGGTTCGGTTGGTGTCCCACCATGGTTTGGTTGGTGTCCCACCATGGTTCCTGTCCCACCATGGTTTGGTTGGGGTCCCACCACGGTTGGTGTCCCACCATGGTTTGGTTGGTGTCCCACCGTGGTTCGGTTGGTGTCCCACCATGGTTGGTGTCCCACCATGGTTTGGTTGGTGTCCCACCATGGTTTGGTTGGTGTCCCACCGTGGTTCGGTTGGTGTCCCACCGTGGTTCGGTTTCTGTCCCACCATGGTTTGGTTGGTGTCCCACCGTGGTTCCTGTCCCACCATGGTTCGGTTCCTGTCCCACCATGGTTGGTGTCCCACCATGGTTTGGTTCCTGTCCCACCATGGTTTGGTTCCTGTCCCACCATGGTTCGGTTGGTGTCCCACCATGGTTTGGTTGGTGTCCCACCATGGTTTGGTGTCCCACCATGGTTCGGTTCCTGTCCCACCATGGTTGGTGTCCCACCATGGTTTGGTTCCTGTCCCACCATGGTTCGGTTCCTGTCCCACCATGGTTTGGTGTCCCACCGTGGTTCCTGTCTTCCTGATGTCCCTGTCTCCTCCCCAGGCCCAGGCGCGGTGCCACCGCATCGGGCAGAGCAAGGCGGTGAAGGTCCTGTGGTGTCCCACCATGGTTTGGTTGGTGTCCCACCACGGTTCCTGTCTCCTCTCCAGGCGCAGGCTCGCTGTCACCGCATCGGGCAGAGCAAGGCGGTGAAGGTCCTGTGGTGGCCCCACCATGGTTCGGTTGGTGTCCCACCATGGTTCCTGTCCCACCATGGTTCGGTTGGTGTCCCACCATGGTTCCTGTCCCACCATGGTTTGGTTGGTGTCCCACCATGGTTCCTGTCCCACCATGGTTTGGTTGGTGTCCCACCACGGTTCCTGTCTCCTCTCCAGGCCCAGGCTCGCTGTCACCGCATCGGGCAGAGCGAGGCGGTGAAGGTCCTGTGGTGTCCCACCATGGTTTGGTTGGTGTCCCACCACGGTTCCTGTCTCCTCTCCAGGCCCAGGCTCGCTGCCACCGCATCGGGCAGAGCAAGGCGGTCAAGGTCTATCGCCTCATCACCAGGAACTCGTACGAGCGCGAGATGTTCGACAAGGCCAGCCTGAAGCTGGGCCTGGACAAGGCCGTGCTGCAGAGCATGAGCGGCCGCGACGGCTCCATCGCCGGGGTGGGACACGGGACCATCGCCGCGGTGGGGTGGGGTGGGACACCCGGGGACCTCCGCGGTGGGGGAACCAGAGCTCGGGTTCTCCGGGTGCTGCAAGGTGGGGTTTGCTAGGTTCTCCAGGTTCTCCAGGTCCCTTAGGTTCTCCAGGTTCTCCAGGTCCCTTAGGTTCTCCAGGTGCTGCAAGGTGGGGTTCTCCAGGTTCTCCAGGTCCTTTAGGTTGTCCAGGTTCTGCAAGGTGGGGTTCTCCAGGTTCTCCAGGTCCCTTAGGTTCTCCAGGTTTTGCAAGGTGGGGTTCTCCAGGTTCTCCAGGTCCCTTAGGTTCTCCGGGTGCTGCAAGGTGGGGCTCTCCAGGTTCTCCAGGTCCTTTAGGTTCTCCAGGTTCTCCAGGTCCCTTAGGTTCTCCAGGTTCTCCAAAGTTGAGGTTCTCCAGGTGCTGCAAGGTGGGGCTCTCCAGGTTCTCCAGGTCCCTTAGGTTCTCCAGGTTCTCCAGGTCCCTTAGGTTCTCCAGGTGCTGCAAGGTGGGGTTCTCCAGGTTCTCCAGGTCCTTTAGGTTCTCCAGGTTCTGCAAGGTGGGGTTCTCCAGGTTCTCCAGGTTCTTTAGGTTCTCCAGGTGCTGCAAGGTGGGGCTCTCCAGGTTCTCCAGGTCCCTTAGGTTCTCCAGGTGCTGCAAGGTGGGGTTTGCTAGGTTCTCCAGGTCCCTTAGGTTCTCCAGGTTTTGCAAGGTGGGGTTCTCCAGGTTCTCCAGGTCCCTTAGGTTCTCCAGGTTCTTTAGGTTCTCCAGGTGCTGCAAGGTGGGGTTTGCTAGGTTCTCCAGGTCCCTTAGGTTCTCCAGGTTTTGCAAGGTGGGGTTCTCCAGGTTCTCCAAGTTTGGGTTCTTCAGGTTTTCTAAAGTTGAGGTTCTCAGAGTTCTCCGAAGTTGAGGTTCTCCAGGTTCTGCAAGGTGGGGTTTGCTAGGTTCTCCAGGTCCTTTAGGTTCTCCAGGTTCTCCAAAGTTGAGGTTCTCCAGGTTGTCCAGTTTGGGTTTCTCCAGGTTGAGGTTCTCCAGGTTCTCCAGTTTGGGTTTCTCCAGCGTTGGGTTCTCCAAGCCCCCCTGGCTGTCCCCACCCTCGATTGTCCCCCCATGCAGATCCAGCAGCTCTCCAAGCTGAAGTTCTCCAGTTTGAGGTTCTCCAGTTTGAGGTTCTCCAGGCTGAGGTTCTCCAGTTTGGGTTTCTCCAGTTTGAGGTTCTCCGGTTTGAGGTTCTCCGGTTTGAGGTTCTCCAGTTTGAGGTTCTCCAGTTAAAGGTTTTCTAGTTTGAGGTTCTCCAGTTTGAGGTTCTCCAGTTTTGGGTTCTCCAAGTTGAGGTTCTCCAGATTCTCCAGGTTACGATCTCCAGTTTGAGGTTCTCCAGCTTCTGCAGGTTGAGGTTTTCCAGTTTGAGGTTCTTCAGGTTCTCTCTCCAGTTTTGGGTTCTCCAGTTTTGGCTTCTCCAGTTTGAGGTTCTCCAGATTGAGGTTTTTTAATTTGAGGTTCTCCAGTTTGAGGTTCTCCAGTTTGAGGTTCTCCACTGTGGGGTTCTCCCGGTTCTCCAAGCTGGGTTCTCCAGGTTGAGGCTCTCCAGGTTCTCCAGTTTGAGGTTCTCCAGCGTTGGGTTCTCCAGTTTGAGGTTCTCCAGGTTGAGGCTCTCCAGGTTCTCCAGTTTGAGGTTCTCCAGCGTTGGGTTCTCCAGGTTGAGGTTCTCCAGTTTGGGTTCTCCAGTTTGAGGCTCTCCAGGTTGAGGTTCTCCACTGTGGGGTTCTCCCGGTTCTCCAAGCTGGGTTCTCCAGGTTGAGGCTCTCCAGGTTCTCCAGTTTGGGTTCTCCAGGTTGAGGCTCTCCAGGTTCTCCAGTGTTGGGTTCTCCAGCGTTGGGTTCTCCAAGCCCCCCGGGCTGTCCCAAGCCCTGATGGTCCTCTCCGCGCAGATCCAGCAGTTCTCCAAGAAGGAGATCGAGGACCTGCTGCGCAAGGGCGCCTACGCCGCCATCATGGACGAGGACGACGAGGGCGCCAAGTTCTGCGAGGAGGACATCGAGCAGATCCTGCTGCGGCGCTCCACCACCATCACCATCGAGAGCGAGGGCAAGGGCTCCACCTTCGCCAAGGTGAGACCTGGACAGGTCCACGTGGGGCTGGGTGGGGCTGGAGAAGGTCCAGGTGGGCTCTGATGGTCTTTGAGAAGATCCAGGTGGGTCTGGGTGGACTTTGGTGGTCTTAGAGAAGATCTAGGTAGGTCTAGGTGAGTTCAGGTGGTCTTGGAGAAGGTCCAGGTGGGTTTAGGTGACGTTGGGTGGCCCTAGAGAAGATCCAGGTGAATTTTGGTGGTCCTGGAGAAGGTCCAGGTGGGTTTAGGTGGGGCTGGAGAAGGTCCGGGTCCTTCCAGGTAGCATTTGGTGGTCTTGGAGAAGATCCAGGTGGATCTACGTGGACTTCAGTGGTCCTGGAGATGTAGGTGGATTTTGGTGGTCCTAGAGAAGGTCTGGGTGGGTCTAGGCAGGTTCACAGTATCTGCGGTGGTGTTGGCAGAAGGTCCAGGTTGGTTTTGGTGGTCCTGGAGAAGATCCAGGTGGGTTTAGATGGGGTCAGGTGGTCTTTGCTTGTCCTAGAGAAGATCAAGGTGGATTTTGATGGCCCTGGAGAAGGTCCAAATGGGTCTAGGTGAGTTTTGTGGTCCTGGAGAAGGTCCAGGTGGGTTTTGGTGGTCATAGAGAAGGTCCACGTGGGGCTGGGTGGCCACCAGGAAGGTTCCTGAAGGAGGTAGAGATCTCAAGCCCAGGTCTAGGTGGTTCTTGGTTGTCCTGGAGAAGGTCCAGGTGGGTCCGGGTGGACTTTGGTGGTTCTAGAGGAGATCCAGGTGGGTCCGGGAAGGTTCACGTGATCTTTGGTGGTCTTAGAGAAGATCCAGGTTGATGTAGGTGGACTTTGATGGTGTTAGAGGAGATCCAGGTAGGTCTGGGCAGGTTCAGGTGATCTTTGGTGGTCCTGGAGAAGATCTTGGTAGGCCCAGGTGGACTTTGGTGGCCTTGGAGAAGATCCAGGTGGGTCTGGGTGGACTTTGGTGGTCTTAGAGAAGATCGAGGTGGATTTTGGTGGCCCTGGAGAAGGCCCAGGTGTGCCCAGGTGTGCCCAGGTGTGCCCAGGCGTGCCCAGGTGTGCCCAGGTGTCCCCCGTGTCCCCAGGCCAGCTTCGTGGCGTCCGAGAACCGCACGGACATCGCGCTGGACGACCCCAACTTCTGGCAGAAGTGGGCCAAGAAAGCCGACCTGGACCTGGAGCTGCTCAACAGCAAGGTGGGACACCTGCGGGGGGCGGGGCCACCGGGGGCGGGGCCACACCTGGGCAGGGCCACACCTGGGCGGGGTCACACCTGGGCGGGGCCACCGGGGGCGGGGCCACCAGGGGCGGGGTCACACCTGGGCGGGGCCACACCTGGGCGGGGTCACACCTGGGTGGGGTCACACCTGGGCGGGGTCACACCTGGGCGGGGTCACACCTGGGTGGGGTCACATGGGTGGGTGGAGTTACCTGGGTGTGGTCACCTGGCTGGGTGGCGTCACCTGGGTGTGGTCACCTGGGTGTGGTCACCTGGGTGTGGTCATCTGGGTGTGGTCACCTGGCTGGGTGGCGTCACCTGGGTGTGGTCACCTGGGTGTGGTCACCTGGGTGTGGTCATCTGGGTGTGGTCACCTGGGTGTGGTCACCTGGCTGGGTGGCGTTACCTGGGTGGAGACATCTGGGCGTGGTCACTTTGGTGCGGTCATTTTGGTGGTCACCCCTGGGTGTGGTCACCTTGTGGAGTTACCTGGTGGTATCACCTGGGTGTGGTCACACCTGGGTGTGGTCACCTGGGTGTGGTCACCTGGGTGTGGTCACCTGGCTGGGTGGCGTTACCTGGGTGGAGACATCTGGGCGTGGTCACTTTGGTGCGGTCACTCGGATGGACGCACCTGGGTGTGGTCACCTTGTGGAGTTACCTGGCTGTGGTCACCTGGACGTGGTCACCTGGACGTGGTCACTTGGCTGTGGTCACTTTGGTGTGGTCACTTTGGTGTGGTCAGTTTGGTGTGGTCACTCGGCTGTGGTTACCTGGCTGTGGTTACCTGGCTGTGGTCACTTTGGTGTGGTCACTTTGGTGTGGTCACTTTGGTGTGGTCACTCGGCTGTGGTCACTTTGGTGCGGTCACTTTGGTGTGGTGACCCTGGTGAAGTCACCTGGGTGTGGTCGCTGTGGTCACCTGGTGGTCACTGACCGCTGTCCACTCGCAATGTCTCGGTGATGGACACCAGTGGAGCTGCTGGGTGTGGTCAGCGGGGACACCTGGGCGTGGTCAGTGCGGTCACTTTGGTGGACGCGCCTTGGCGCAGTCCTCCCTTTGCGGTCACCCGGCTGTGGTCATCGCCCGGAGTGACCGCCGACCGCTCGGAACACGCTGACGACGGACGGGCCGCGGGCGTGGTCACCTGGGGGTCACCGTCCGGGTCAGGTCGGTGTGGTCACTGTGGTCACCCTGAGTGACCGGCGGTCATTGTCCAGTCTAGAACACGCTGGTCATCGACACGCCGCGTGTCCGCAGGCAGACTGACCGCTGGTCACTCGTGTCCACTCGGAACACGCTGGCCATCGACACGCCGCGTGTCCGCAGGCAGACTGACCGCTGGTCACTCGTGTCCACTCGGAACACGCTGGCCATCGACACGCCGCGTGTCCGCAGGCAGACTGACCGTTGGTCACTCGTGTCCACTCGGAACACGCTGGCCATCGACACGCCGCGTGTCCGCAGGCAGACTGACCGTTGGTCACTCGTGTCCACTCGGAACACGCTGGCCATCGACACGCCGCGCGTCCGGAAGCAGACTGACCGCTGCAGCCCCTGGGTGGGGTCAGATGGTCACTCTGGTGGTCACTGACCATTGGTCACTCGTGTCCACTCTAGAACACGCTGGTCATCGACACGCCGCGCGTCCGGAAGCAGACGCGCCACTTCAGCCCCTGGGTGGGGTCAGATGGTCACTCTGGTGGTCACTGACCATTGGTCACTCTTGTCCACTCTAGAACACGCTGGTCATCGACACGCCGCGCGTCCGGAAGCAGACGCGCCACTTCAGCACGCTGCGGGACGATGACCTGGTGGAGTTCTCGGACCTGGACAGCGACGACGACCCCGAGCGGCCGGACCGGGCCGGGGGCGCGCCCCGCACGCGGCGCGGCGGCCACGCCCACGCCCACGGCCACGGCCACGCCCACGGCCACGCCCACGGTCACGGCGGTCAGCACGGCGGTCAGCACGGCGGCCAGCACGGCGGTCAGCACGGCGGTCAGCACGCGGCTCCGGCCGCTCCGGCCGCCCCGGCGGCGCCGTTCGGGAGGAGCGACTGCGTGCGGGTGGAGAAACACCTGATGGTCTACGGGTGGGTACGGCACACCTGGGCACACCTGGGGACACGTGGGACACACCTGGGCACACCTGGGCACACCTGGGGGGGATGGGGACACACCTGGACACACCTGGGCACACCTGGGGGACATCTGGGGTACCTGGGACACACCTGGGCACACCTGGGCACACCTGGGGGGGATGGGGACACACCTGGGCACACCTGGGGGACATCTGGGGTACCTGGGACACACCTGGGCACACCTGGGGGGGATGGGGACACACCTGGAGAAACACCTGATGGTCTACGGGTGGGTACGGCACACCTGGGCACACCTGGGGACATGTGGGACACACCTGGGCACACCTGGGCACACCTGGAGGGGATGGGGACACACCTGGGCACACCTGGGGGGGATGGGGACACACCTGGGCACACCTGGGGGACATCTGGGGTACCTGGGCACACCTGGGCACACCTGGGGGGGATGGGGACACACCTGGGCACACCTGGGGGACATCTGGGGTACCTGGGACACACCTGGGCACACCTGGGGGGGATGGGGACACACCTGGGGACACCTGGGGGGGATGGGGACACACCTGGGCACACCTGGGGGGGATGGGGACACACCTGGGCACACCTGGGCACACCTGGGGGGGATGGGGACACACCTGGGGTACCTGGGGACACGTGGGGAAACACCTGATGGTCTACGGGTGGGTACGGCACACCTGGGCACACCTGGGGGGGATGGGGACACACCTGGGCACACCTGGAGGGTTTCCTATTGATCCCATTGGTTCCTAATTGATCCCAAAGGTTCCCCATTGATCCCTCATTGATTCCCCATTGGCTCCCCATTGACCCCATTGATCCCTCATTGATCCCATTGGCTCCCCATTGACCCCATTGATCCATCATTGACCCCATTGGCTCCCCATTGACCCCATTGATCCATCATTGATCCCATTGGCTCCCCATTGACCCCATTGATCCCTCATTGACCCCATTGGCTCCCCATTGACCCCATTGATCCCTCATTGACCCCATTGGCTCCCCATTGACCCCATTGATCCCTCATTGACCCCATTGGCTCCCCATTGACCCCATTGATCCCTCATTGACCCCATTGGCTCCCCATTGACCCCATTGATCCCTCATTGATCCCATTGGCTCCCCATTGACCCCATTGATCCGTCATTGATCCCATTGGCTCCCCATTGACCCCATTGATCCCTCATTGATTCCCCATTGGCTCCCCATTGACCCCATTGATCCCTCATTGATTCCCCATTGGCTCCCCATTGACCCCATTGATCCGTCATTGACCCCATTGGCTCCCCATTGACCCCATTGATCCCTCATTGATTCCCCATTGGCTCCCCATTGACCCCATTGATCCCTCATTGATCCCATTGGCTCCCCATTGACCCCATTGATCCCTCATTGATTCCATCGGTTTCTCGTTGATTTCATTGATCCCCCATTGACCCCATTGGTTTTTCGTTGATCCGAGTGACCGCGCTGACCCCTGAGTGACCCCTGAGTGACCCCTGAGTGACCATTGAGTGACCCCTGAGTGACCCCTGAGTGACCCCTGAGTGACCCTTTAGTGACCCACTGACCCCTGAGTGACCCCTGAGTGACCCCTGAGTGACCGCTGTCCGTTGCAGGTGGGGCCGCTGGCGCGAGCTGGCCGCCCAGGGGTACTTCAGTGGCCATTCCTCTGGCCATTTGGTGACCCCAATGACCCTTTAGTGACCCCTGAGTGACCATTAAATGACCATTAAGTGACCGCTGTCCGTTGCAGGTGGGGCCGCTGGCGCGAGCTGGCCGCCCAGGGGTACTTCAGTGACCATTCCTCTGGCCATTGAGTGACCCCAATGACCCTTTAGTGACCCACTGACCCCTGAGTGACCATTGAGTGACCGCTGCCCGTTGCAGGTGGGGCCGCTGGCGCGAGCTGGCCGCCCAGGGCCGCTTCAAGCGCCGGCTCTCGGAGCGGGACGCGGAGAGCCTGGGCCGCGCCATCGTGCTCTTCTGCCTGCGGCACTTCCGCGGCGACGACGGCACCAGAGCGTTCATCTGCGCGCTGCTGAGCCCCGGGCACAGCAACGGCCGGGCACGGAGCATGGCCGGGCAGCTCGGTGAGTCTGGGGGCAGTTTGGGTGGGTTTGGGTCAGTTTGGGTGGGTTTGGGTCAGTTTGGGTGGGTTTGGGTCACTGACGGCACGCGGGCGTTCATCTGCGCGCTGCTGAGCCCCGGGCACAGCAACGGCCGGGCACGGAGCGCCCTGGGGCAGCTCGGTGAGTCTGGGGGCAGTTTGGGTGGGTTTGGGTCACTTTGGGTCAGTTTGGGTCACTTTGGGTCGGTTTGGGTCACTTTGGGTCACTTTGGGTCAGTTCAGGTGGGTTTGGGTCAGTTCAGGTGGGTTTGGGTCAGTTTGGGTGGGTTTGGGTCAGTTCAGGTGGGTTTGGGTCAGTTTGGGTCAGTTTGGGTCAGTTTGGGTCAGTTTGGGTGGGTTTGGGCCACGTCAGGTGGGTTTGGGTCGCTTTGGGTCACTTTGGGGTGGTTTGGGTTTCTGGAGATCATCTTGGCTGGTTTTGGGCTGTTTTGGGTCCGTTTTGGGCTGTTTTGGGTCCATTTTGGGTCGTTTTGGGTCCGTTTTGGGTCGTTTTGGGTCCATTTTGGGTCCGTTTTGGGTCTGTTTTGGGTCCATTTTGGGTCGTTTTGGGTCCATTTTGGGTCCGTTTTGGGTCCGTTTTGTGTCGTTTTGGGTCCGTTTTGGGTCCGTTTTGGGTCCATTTTGGGTCGTTTTGGGTCCATTTTGGGTCCGTTTTGGGTCCATTTTGGGTCCGTTTTGGGTCTGTTTTGGGTCCGTTTTGGGTCCGTTTTGGGTCTGTTTTGGGTCCTTTTTGGGTCCGTTTTGGGTCCGTTTTGGGTCGTTTTGGGTCGTTTTGGGTCCGTTTTGGGTCGTTTTGGGTTGGTTTTGGGCTGTTTTGGGTCCGTTTGGGGGCACCTCGCGTGGATTTGGGGCCGTCCGGGTTCCTGGGTCTGCTGACCGCTCTGCTGACCGCTGCCACGTCCACCCCACTGACCGCGCCACTGACCACTCCTGTGTCCACCCCGCTGACCACTGACCACTGAGTGACCGCAGCCCCAAAAACACCCCAAAAAAATGGCCAAAAAATCCCAAAAAGTCCCCATAATGGCCCTGAGTGACCGCTGACCACTGAGTGACCACTGAGTGACCACTGAGTGACCGCAGCCCCAAAAACACCCCAAAAAAATCCCCCAAAAAATGGCCAAAAAATCCCCATAATGGCCCTGAGTGACCACTGACCACTGAGTGACCACTGAGTGACCACAGCCCCAAAAACACCCCAAAAAAATCCCCCAAAAAATGGCCAAAAAATCCCCATAATGGCCCTGAGTGACCACTGACCACTGAGTGACCACTGAGTGACCACAGCCCCAAAAACACCCCAAAAAAATGGCCAAAAAATCCCAAAAAATCCCCATAATGGCCCTGAGTGACCACTGACCACTGAGTGACTGCAACCCCAAAAATCCCCCAGAAAATCCCCCAAAAAATTCCCAAAAAATCACCAAAAAGGGCAAAAAAACCCTCAAAAAAGTCTTAAAAAATCCCAAAAAAAAATCCGAAAAGAATCCCCAGAATTGCCCAAAGTGCCCCAAAGTGACCGCGCCCCTCCCCCCCAGGGTCGCTGCCGCGGGGCCGCAAGGGCCGGAAGGCGCCGAAGGTTCCGGAAGGTTCCGCGGGCGCCGAGTGGCTGCTGCAGGACGAGGGGTACCGCAAACACCTGCGGCACCCACTGCGGGAAGTGAGTCCCAAAAATCCGTAAATTTGGGGCTTTTCGGGGCGTTTTGGGGGGATTTATGGGATTGGGGTTTTTGGGGATTTTTGGGGATTTTTTGGGGGATTTTTTGAGGTTTTATTGGGTTTTTGGGGGTACCGCAAACACCTGCGGCACCACTGCGGGAAGTGAGTCCCAAAAATCCATAAATTTGGGGCTTTTTGGGGGGATTTGTGGGCTTTGGGGGTTTGGGGGATTTTTGGGGAGTTTTTGGGATTTTTTTGGGATTTTTTGAGGTTTTATTGGAGTTTTTGGGGTACCGCAAACACCTGTGGCACCACTGCGGGAAGTGAGTCCCAAAAATGGGGAATTTGGGGTTTTTTGGGGGCATTTGTGGGCTTTGGGGTTTTTTGGGATTTTGAGGATTTTTTGGGATTTTTTGGGATTTTTGGGGGATGTTTTTGGGGATTTTTTGGGTGTTTTTTGGTTTTTTTAATGGGGTTTTTGGGGTACCACAAACACCTGCGGCACCACTGCGGGAAGTGAGTCCCAATTTATGGGATTTTGGGGCTTTTTGGGGGCTTTTTTGGGACTTTTATGGGACTTTTTATGGTTCTTATGGGATTTGTGGTTTTGGGTTCATTTCCCGGGATTTTGGTTCATTCCCGTGGGGTTTGCGGTACCAGAAAACACTTTTGCCAAGTGAGTCTGAATTTATGGGATTTTTAGGGATTTTTATGGATTTTTACGGAATTTTTTGGGTTTTTTTTAACGGGATTTTTGGGATTTTTTTATGTAATTTGTGGGTTTGGGTTCATTTCCCGGGATTTTGGCTCATTCCCGTGGGTTTGGGGTACCAGAAACAGCTTTGGCGAGTGAGTGTGAGTTTATGGGATTTTTAGGGATTTTTAAGGATTTTTATGGAATTTTTTTGGGTTTTTTTAACGGGATTTTTTGGGGTTTTATTGGGGTTTTGGGTTTTGGGTTGAATTCCCGGGATTTTGGGTCACTTGTGTGTCCGTGTGTCCGTCCCAGGCTGCTGCTCCGGGTGCGCGCCCTGCACTTCCTGCGGCACGAGGTGATCGGGGGAGCAGGCCGAGCGCGTCCTGGCCGGGGCCAGCGCCAGGTGAGAGGATTTGGGGTGAAAAGCGGCGATTTTGGGGTTTTTGGGGAAATTGGGGTTTTTGGGGGACTTTATGGGGGATTTTTCGGGTGGTTTGGGGGTAATTTTGGGGTGATTTAAGGCACTTTATGGGGGATTTTTCAGAGGTTTAGGGCACAGGTGAGCTCCAGTTTTGGGGTAAGTTCCGGGGATTTTGGGGCTTTGGGGAATTTGGGGGATTTTTGGGTGGATTTTTGGGTGGTTTTGGGGTAATTTTGGGGTGATTTAAGGAACTTGATTGGGGATTTTTTAGAGGTTTGGGGCACAGGCGAGCCCCAGTTTTGGGGTAAATTCCGGGCAATTTTGGGGCTTTTTTGGGATTTGGGGGGGGTCGGGGTCTTTGCGGCTCAGGCGAGCCCCAGGTTTGGGGTGAAACCCGGGCATTTTGGGGCATTTTGGGGGTTTGGGGGGGATAGTTGGGTTTCGGGGCGGTTTGGGAGCGTTTCGGGCGGAGTTTTGGGGTCATTCCCCGCATTTTCGGGGCCCCGGTCCCAGATTTCGCGTTTCCGACCCCGAATCTGCGTTTGCGACCCAAACTTTGCGTTTCTCGCCCCGTTTTGCAGCGGGGAGGTGCAGATCGGGTTCCCGGTGCTGGAGCAGCCGGAGCCGCCCTCGGCCTGGTGGGACCCCGAGGCCGACAAATCGCTGCTGCTGGGGGTCTTCAAGCACGGTATTGGGGCTAAAAACCCCGATTTTGGTTAAATTGGGTCATTGGGACTGGGGTCTGTGCTGCTGGGGGGCTGCAAGCGCGGGATTGGGGCTAAAAACGGCGATTTTGGGAAAATTGGGGTTTTTGGGATATATCAGTGTAATTTGGGTGCATTTGAGGATATTTTTAAGGTTTTTTTTCTTTATTTTCTTGGACTTTTTTGCTAAAAAATCCCATTTTTAGGGTTATTTTGGGATTTACTTTTGGGTTATTTTGGAGTTCATTTTGGGGTATGAGCGGTACCACACGATGCGGGCAGACCTTTGGGGTTATTTCAGTGTAATTTGGGTGTAATTTGGGCTGTTTCAATGGGGATTTTTGCTGCTTTCACCGATTTTTTTGCAGTTTTTTGTAACCAATCCCAGTTTTTGCTGTTTTTCCCCCGTTTCAGGGTACAAGCGGTACCACACGATGCGGGCGGACCCCGCCCTGTGTTTTGGGGTTATTTCAGTGTAATTTGGGTGTAATTTGGGCTGTTTCAATGGGGATTTTTGCTGCTTTCACCGATTTTTTGCAGTTTTTTGTAACCAACCCCAGTTTTTGCTGTTTTTCCCCCGTTTCAGGGTACGAGCGGTACCACACGATGCGGGCAGACCTTTGGGGTTACTTTGGGGTTATTTCAGTGGAATTTGGGTGTAATTTGGGCTGTTTCAATGGGATTTTTGCTACTGTGACCGGTTTTTTTGCAGTTTTTTGTAACAAACCCCAATTTTGGGGTGATTTCTCTCATTTTAGGGTACGAGCGGTACCACACGATGGGCACAGACCTTTGGGGTTATTTCAGTGGAAATTTGGGTGTAATTTGGGCTGTTTTCAATGGGGATTTTTGCTGCTTTCACCGATTTTTTTGCAGTTTTTTGTAACCAACCCCAATTTTTGCTGTTTTTCCCCCATTTCAGGGTACGAGCGGTACCACACGATGCGGGCAGACCCCGCCCTGTGTTTTGGGGGTTATTTCAGTGTAATTTGGGTGTAATTTGGGCTGTTTCAATGGGGATTTTTGCTACTTTGACCGATTTTTTGCAGTTTTTTGTAACCAACCCCAATTTTTGCTGTTTTTTTCCCCCGTTTCAGGGTACGAGCGGTACCACACGATGCGGGCAGACCTTTGGGGTTACTTTGGGGTTATTTCAGTGTAATTTTGGGTGTAATTTGGGCTGTTTCAATGGGGATTTTTGCTACTTTGAACAGTTTTTTTGCAGTTTTTTGTAACAAACCCCAATTTTGGGGTGATTTCTCTCATTTTAGGGTATGAGCGGTACCACACGATGGGCACAGACCTTTGGGGTTATTTCAGTGGAATTTGGGTGTAATTTGGGCTGTTTCAATGGGGATTTTTGCTACTGTGACCAGTTTTTTTGCAGTTTTTTGTAACCAACCCCAATTTTGGGGTGATTTCTCTCATTTCAGGGTACGAGCGGTACCACACGATGCGGGCAGACCTTTGGGGTTATTTCAGTGTAATTTGGGTGTAATTTGGGCTGTCTCAATGGGGATTTTTGCTACTGTGGACCGGTTTTTTTGCAGTTTTTTGTAACCAACCCCAATTTTTGCTGTTTTTCCCCCATTTCAGGGTACGAGCGGTACCACACGATGCGGGCAGACCCCGCCCTGTCTTTTGGGGTTATTTCAGTGTAATTTGGGTGTAATTTGGGCTGTTTCAATGGGGATTTTTGCTACTTTGAACAGTTTTTTTGCAGTTTTTTGTAACCAATCCCAATTTTGGGGTGATTTCTCTCATTTCAGGGTACGAGCGGTACCACACGATGCGGGCAGACCCGCCCTGTGTTTCCTGGCCCGGGCCGGGGGTCCCGACGCCACGGCCGTGGCGGGCCGAGCAGCGCCTGGAGGGGCCCGAGGGGTGAGCGGGGACGGATCGGGGCCAAAACGGCCGGAATTGGGAAAACTGGGGGAAATTGGGGAAATCTGGGGGGAATTGGGGAAATTGGGGGGAAATTGGGGGGGGAAATTGGGGAAATTCAGGGGGTTTGGGGATATTTGGGGGGATTTGAGGGGTTTGGGGAACTTTAGGGGAGATTTTGGGGGGGGATTTTGGGTGGGTTTGAAGTGGTTTTGGATTTTTTGGTGATGTGAAGTGACTTGGGGCGGTTTTTGGGGGGATTTTTGGGGATTTCAGGTGTTTTGGGGAGATTTGAGGTGGGTTTACTTTATTTCTTTTGCGTTTGGGTTGTTTTGGGGGATTGTTGGGGTCTGAGGTGGTTTTGAGAGATTTTTGGAAATTTGAGCTGGTTTTGGGTGGTTTTTGGGGGATTTTGGTAATTTGAGGTGGTTTCGGGGGGTTTAGAGAGAATTTTGGGGAGGTTTTAGGAGGATTTAGGGAACTCAAAGTTATTTGGTGCTATTTGAGGTGATTTTAGGGGACTGTTGGAACATTAGAGGTAATTTAGGTGGTTTTGGGGGCGTTTTTGGGGCGTTGTTGGGTTTTTGAGATGGCTTTGTGCGGTTTTGGGGGGATTTTGGAAATTTGAGGTGGTTTTAGCAGCTTTGGGGGCATTTTTTGGGGATTTGACTGGTTTTGGGGGGGATTTAGGGAAATGGAGGAGTTTGGGGGGGATTCGAGGTGATTTTGGGGGGTTTTTGGGTGTTTTGGGGCTGATTTTGGGTGATTTGGGCTGGCTTTGGATGTTTTTTGGGTTTTTTTCGGGCGTTTTTGGGTGTTTTCGGGGCGATTCGATCCCTTTGGGATTTCCATCGTTCCTGCCCCCCCAGACCCCCCGGATTTTGGGTTTTTGCCCCCAAAGGCGCCCCTGATGACCCAGCCATGCTAATACCGACCGGCCCCGGCCGGGCTGAGTGCAGCCACGGGCTGAGGCGCCCCCGGCCCCGCTTTGGGGCCCAATTCCCGCGATTTTGGGGCTCTGCGGCGTTTCGGGGTCAATTCAGGCAATTTTGGGGTCCCCCCAGGGCCGACTTGGACAGAGACCCCGAGGACCCCGAGTACAAACCCCTGCAAGGGGGAGAGGAGGTAAAAAAACCCAAATTCTCCCAACTTTACCTGGAATTCCCCAAATTTGGGGTTTTCTCCCCAAAAACCTTCAGCCGGGTTTTGGGGGGTCTGGGGGCTCCGGTGACCCCGTGACCCCCCCAGAGCGACCCCCTGGCCGGGCTGGACGAGGAGATCTCGGTGGTGGACGGCGACGAAGGTAAGGGGGCCCAGAGCGCCCCAAATTCACCCAAAATTCACCCAAAATTCACCCAGATCCTTTAACATCCCTTGAAAACTCTTTGGGATCACCAAAATCGGGAAAAACTCCCTCGGAATCGGGTCAAAGTCCTGGAATTCGCTGAAATCGTCGCAAACTGCCCCAAATTCCGCCCTGAGGGACCTGGGGTTTGCACGGGCGCCACAAAAATGCCCCAAATCCCCCCAAAATCATCCAAATCATCCCAAAATCCCCAAAAAACTCTCATTTCTCAGTCCCATTCCCCCCTGTACTTCTTAAATCCGCTGGAATTTCTCCCTGGGAGCCCTGAAGTGACTTCAGAGACCCCAAATCCCCCAAATTCACCCCAAATCCCCTCAAAGTGACCCCAAATCCCCCAAATTCACCCCAAATCCCCCAAATTCACCCCCAAATCCCCCAAACTGACCCCAAATCCCCCAAACTGACCCCAAATCCCCTCAAAGTGACCCCAAATCCCCCAAATTCACCCCAAATCCCCCAAATTCACCCCAAATCCCCCCAAAGTGACCCCCAAATCCCCCAAATTCACCCCAAATCCCCCAAACTGACCCCAAATCCCCCAAATTCACCCCAAATCCCCCAAATTCACCTCAAATCCCCCAAACTGACCCCAAATCCCCCAAATTCACCTCAAATCCCCTCAGAGTGACCCCAAATCCCCCAAATTCACCCCAAATCCCCCCAAAGTTACCCCAAATCCCCCAAATTCACCCCAAATCCCCCAAATTCACCCCAAATCCCCCCAAACTGACCCCAAATCCCCCAAATTCACCTCAAATCCCCTCAGAGTGACCCCAAATCCCCCAAATTCACCCCAAATCCCCCCAAAGTGACCCCAAATCCCCCAAATTCACCCCCAAATCCCCCAAATTCACCCCAAATCCCCCCAACTGACCCCAAATCCCCCCAAATTCACCCCAAATCTCTCTCTGTTACCCCCCAGGTTCTGCATCCTCATCCTGGCCCTCGGCCCCCGCCCTGACCGCGCGTTTGCCCCAAATTGACCCAAATTCACCCCAAATTCTCTCCCCCCAGGTTCTGCATCCTCCTCATCCTCGTGGCCCTCGGCCCCCGCCCTGACCGCGCGTTTGCCCCAAATCCCCCCAAATTCACCCCAAATTCTCTCCCCCCAGGTTCTGCATCCTCCTCATCCTCATCCTGGCCCTCGGCCCCCCGCCCTGACCGCGCGTTTGCCCCAAATTCACCCAAATTCACCCCAAATTCTCTCCCCCCAGGTTCAGCATCCTCCTCATCCTCGTGGCCCTCGGGCCCCGCTCTGAGCGCGCGTTTGCCCCAAATTCACCCCAAATTCACCCCAAATTCTCTCCCCCCAGGTTCTGCATCCTCCTCATCCTCATCCTGGCCCTCGGGCCCCGCTCTGACCGCGCGTTTGCCCCAAATTCACCCAAATTCACCCCAAATTCTCTCCCCCCAGGTTCAGCATCTTCATCCTCCTCATCCTCGTGGCCCTCGGCCCCCCGCTCTGACCGCGCGTTTGCCCCAAATCCCCCCAAATTCACCCCAAATTCTCTCCCCCCCAGGTTCTGCATCCTCCTCATCCTCATCCTGGCCCTCGGGCCCCCGCTCTGACCGCGCGTTTGCCCCAAATTCACCCAAATTCACCCCCAAATTCTCTCCCCCCAGGTTCAGCATCTT